TACAATTTCTCATTGTTCTACAACAAAAGCATCTTATTCTGGCCTTATTTGGCTTCCCAGTTCATCTGATCCTTATCTTGTACCACACTCTCCATTACTCAAAGAGCACAAAAAGCATTCTCAGCCTATCACTTCCCTGATTGTCCTTTCCTTACACTCACGAAACCTTACTACCTTACTACATGCTATTTTTTTTGAGAGGTTTTTGCTATAGAGTGCATGCGCTTGCCAGAAAGACAGAAAGAGACAGAGAGACAGAAAGTGAGAAATCATCCCCCAGGGGTGATGGCCATGCCACAATCCCTTCTCCTCCACTCTCCTCTCGGGATCTTGGGCATGCACGCACACAGCTTTAGTTTAAGCCACTGGGTCTGGGACTCAAACTGCGGTGGACTACGTGGGAGTCCAGCGATGCAGCCATTACGCTAACTGCAGGTCCCTGCAGATACTTTATTGGTTGACTTATATTCATCTTTCAGTCCCAAGTTACACATCACTTACTTTGAATACTTTTCCCCCAAGCCACATAGATTTGATGGTATCACTTTTTCATAGCAACCTCTTTATATAGCATAAACCAAAACTTAGAATTATTTATATCTAATTTAAAGATTTGAAACATATGATAAAGTCATAGTTCAAAAATCAGAATATATATTAAGGTATACATTGAGAAGTCCTGTTTCCATCCCAGTCTCTATCCCAACCCAATTCTACCATTTATTTGTGCTATTTTATTAGTACATTGTTTACTCTTTTTATAGAAATACAAGTCAATATGATTATTTTGGCTTAGTTAAAAAATAAAAACTAGAATTCTGTATGTGCTGTTTATATTTCTATATTTCATTTAAAACTATGTTCTAAAGATCATCTGACACAAATATTAAAATTTATTTTTTCATTCTTTTTTCCACAGTTGCATAGTAGATATTATTCTGTGGATAATCATAGTTTATTAAATTACTGGTTCCAGTCTGTTACAAACAATGTTACAGTTAATAATCTTGCACAAGTGCCATTTTACTTTTGTATAGGTGTTTGTCTAGGGTATATATCCTAGATAGTTTGGCCAAATCAAAACCTACCTTTACCAGAAGAATATATTGCTAGCTCTTCTTTAATATTTCTATAATTTCATGCAATCATTAATGACTTGAAAGTTTGTCTTTCCAGAGTCTTAAATAGTAGAAGTATCATTAAATTTCTGCATTTCTACAACTCTGGTAGGTGAGAAATTGTACGTCAGTGTAGACTGAATGTGAAACGTTTTTATTGAAAATATGCATGACTATCTTTTCTGTAAAAAATTCCCTATTCTGGGAACCCAGCAGTTAGTGTAATGGCTATGTCACTGGACTCCCACGTAGTCGACCACGGTTCGCGACCCAAACCCAGTGGCTTAAAACTCACGCCGGGTGTGTGTGTGTGCGTGCCCAAGATCCTGAGAAGAGAATGGAGGAGAAGGGATTGCGGCGTGACCACCCCCCCTGGGGGGTGATTTCTCGCTTTCTGTCTCTATGTCTCTGTCTGGCGAGCGCACACATCCTATAGCGAAAACCTCTCCAAAAACAAAACAAAACAAAACAAAAAAGTTCCCTATTCCTTGAAATAAGTAAAGTTTTTTTGAACTATCATGTTTGTAGCCTATTTTTCTGTTAGGTTGACAATTTCTGCCATTTGTGATTGTTTGACAACTTTTAGGTATACAAAAATTGGTATTCATCAGTGGTATGTCACAAATACTGTCTTTTTTTTTTCTTTTGACATTTTGTTGCCACAATTTGTTTTCAATTTTCTTATGGTAAAAGTTATCGATATTTTTTTAATATTTCTATAATTTCATGCAATCATTAATGACTTGAAAGTTTGTCTTTCCAGAGTCTTAAATAGTAGAAGTATCATTAAATTTCTGCATTTCTACAACTCTGGTAGGTGAGAAATTGTACGTCAGTGTAGACTGAATGTGAAACGTTTTTATTGAAAATATGCATGACTATCTTTTCTGTAAAAAATTCCCTATTCTGGGAACCCAGCAGTTAGTGTAATGGCTATGTCACTGGACTCCCACGTAGTCGACCACGGTTCGCGACCCGAACCCAGTGGCTTAAAACTCACGCCGGGTGTGTGTGTGTGTGCGTGCCCAAGATCCTGAGAAGAGAATGGAGGAGAAGGGATTGCGGCGTGACCACCCCCCCTGGGGGGTGATTTCTCGCTTTCTGTCTCTATGTCTCTGTCTGGCGAGCGCACACATCCTATAGCGAAAACCTCTCCAAAAACAAAACAAAACAAAACAAAAAAGTTCCCTATTCCTTGAAATAAGTAAAGTTTTTTTGAACTATCATGTTTGTAGCCTATTTTTCTGTTAGGTTGACAATTTCTGCCATTTGTGATTGTTTGACAACTTTTAGGTATACAAAAATTGGTATTCATCAGTGGTATGTCACAAATACTGTCTTTTTTTTTTCTTTTGACATTTTTTTGCCACAATTTGTTTTCAATTTTCTTATGATAAAAGTTATCGATATTTTCTTTATGGGCTTCTAGATATTGTGTCACAATTAAAATGACCTTTCCCACTGTAATATTTTAATGAATTTTCTATTTTCTCTTAGAACTTTTATCTTGTTCTTGAAAATTAATATCTTACTCATTTAAAACTTATCCTGATGTCATGAATCATGAATCCAAATTTCTTTGTTCAAGTGACAATCTAGCTGTCCTAACACTACTGAAAGTGCATTTGTACTCCTCTCAACTTAAGAGTCACTCTTTTCATATACTATAGTCCAATGAATTTCAGGAGTTAGTTCATTTTATCTTCGCATGGCTATTTCACACTTGCTTTCTTGCCAGACACTGGTTGCATGAGGGTGAGAACTATATTCATTTTGCCTGAGCCCCCAAGGATTAGACTAGTGTCTGACACATAGCAGGCCCTCAGTACATATTGCTGTATTTAGGGAATGCTTACAAAGTCTTAGGAGACTGTTTCCCTTTTCCCCACAAATAGTTTTAAAGATTACTTACTATTTTTAATTTAATAAATATTTTACAGAAAGGAAATAAAAATGGGTGAAAGAAAATAGAAATTATGTCCTTCTGTTTGATGTACATAACATTTGACCTTAAGTAAATTAATATATTTTAAGCAAAACATTCCACTCAATCTATATGTTAACAAAAATTTTTTAAAAAAGTAATGTTAACACCTAAGGGAAATAGCTATATTGAGCATAAACAAGAAAAATCAGTTTTTATGTACAGTAGACACTGGAACTTTTCAGATGAAATATGAATTTTTTGAGAGAAATTTTTGCTATAGGGTACATGAGCTCACTAGAGGGAGAAAAAGTAAGAAATCACCTGCTCCAGAGGAGACGGCTGCCACAATCCCTTTTTCCCCATTCTCCTCTCAGGATTTTAGACACCTACACACATGCGCCTGGCATGAGTTTCTTTCTTCTTCTTTTTTTTTTTTTTGAGAGTTTTTTTGATATAAGGTGCTTGCACTCTCCAGACAGACAGAGACAGAGAGATAGAAAGTGAGAAATCACCCCCCCCCGGGGGATGGCCACACCGCAATCCCTTCTCCTCCATTCTCCTCTCAGGATCTTGGGCACACACACACATGCGCCCAGCATGAGTTTAAGCCACCAGGTCTAAGACTCTAACCACGGTTGATTACGTGGGAGTCCAGAGACATAGCCATTATGCTAACTGCTGGTCCTGAGTTTCAAGGCGCCAGGTCTGGGACTTGAACTGTGGTTGGCCATGTGGGAGTCCAGTGCCGTAACCACTATGCCACTTTCTGGCCCCTAACTCTTTCACTCATTTCTAAGTAATTCTGGAGATATACAATATAAAGGATGTTGCAAAATTTCTGGGAAGTATGATTTTGAAATGGAAACATTAGTATGTAAAAGCTAGTCACCTAGATCAAATCTGAACCTAGCGCATTCTCCTCATCTGCTTTTAAGGGCAGCTTTATTTTCGTTCTTATTGATATTTGACTTCATTTGATACCCACAATCACACCAGGTAGGGCATTCTCTCCTTTTGACTGAAGAGGAAACTCAGACAATTATATATTAAAGGTAACAGGAATTGGGGGATTTGCAAGAACATATTCCCTGCAAATGATAAGAATCTATTGTACTTAAAAAGAGCAGCATTCTATTGTATAATTATTAATATATTCAGAAAATTTTATTTCATTCCCCTTTAGCAAAGCAGCAGCAGTAACAGCAAAATAGCAATCGACTTCAACAATATGCAAAAACATCTCAAAAATCAGATGCCAATGTAAGCAATTAAATTTAAATAATAACAACATATTTATTAGCATTTTTAATGGTATAAAAAATAAAACTCAAGATCTCCCATTTCCATTTATCAACTGATGCTATATTTCCCCATTACTTATTGGCATAACTATTAGTATATGTGTGGCATTTTAAAAACATAATGAACTTTTAATTTATTAACAATGTTAATTCTATCCAATGCAAATTAAGAATGGAAGACTGTAATGGACGCCCTATTGTATCATTCAAAATAAAAGAACATTTGACTGGAATAAAAAAGATCTTTCATTTGGGTTTTAAATAATCCTACAGTTCCATAAGCTGTCTCAAATGTTCCAATCGTTATGGCTATCCAGATGCCAGTTTTAACTCATCACATTTACCATACCAAGCAGTAGAAATTAAAGAGTACCTAAATTTGGATATCTATGGCAGATTTTGCAAATCAAAAAAATTATTACTCAGAGAAACGGAAGGAATTCTGCAAAATAATTAATGAGAATATTCCAGTCTGTACCATGTTACAATTATGTACATAATAGCATTTCAGCTGAACTTAGAACCATTTGATTCTCTAAAATAAAGTAAATAAATCTAACTTTGCCTTTGAAACTCTATACATTTTTTTCTGTCATACATATAGCCCAATGATCTGAAAAATACATTATTGTTAAACAACATAAATCTGCCCAGTGTCTAAATAGTGATAAAAGTTAGCTTCACATGACATTACAAGATTGCATATAATTCTCAGGATCCAAGAGTTTAATTCCACTGGCATGTACAGTCTATAGGTTCCTGGAGAGTATACATAATTTCAGTGCCATTTCCCGAGCAGTAGAGAGGCACGGTCAAGTTTCGCACTCCATTCTCACGGCAACACTTGCAGAATCTTAGGTGACTTTCAACGTTGATGTTATATATGGTAGCTGATGGGCATTTCCCATCACAAGATGCCACATTTACCTGTAAGGAGACACAATAAGAAAACGAGGTCTTACAGTTTTCAAAACACTGATTATCTGACTCCACTAAGTTAGGCGAGAGCAAGGCTTTCTTCTTTATAACTTCAACAATTAAGTTTTTGGATGTTGGAAGATTGTGGAGGACATAATGCTAAGTTGAAACAATGCACACAAGTTATAGGGTTGTCCATGGTGATGCCCAACATACCAACACTGACATAATTCAAAGCATCAAATACGCATGCATTACTAGACAGACATGTGACTCTAGTGAATATATTTACTTACGTCTCAGGTAGACCATAAAATTTGACAGTCAGATTTAAGGGGGTAAAGTTAGAAGTAGGATTATTTTGGCTGAGTAAAATTGCATACTTAAGATAGTATGTATTATTAAATATAGTTTGATTCAATTTTCATCTCTCTAGATTGCAATCACTTAGAACTTATTGATGCTAAAAATAATTCATACTTCTTCACAATATTTTAATATTAGAATACAGAAATATCAAAGTTAAATATCATAAATGTGCATTTTGTTAGCTTAAAAATTTATTTGTGCTATGACAATATAAGTCTGGAAAGACAAATGCTCTTTACATAATAAATTATATTTTTCTACTTACAGAGCTTTGGCTTACACAGTCTTGTTTCCTTATGACTGATTTAATGATCGTTTTCTGGCATATTCTTTCTTCTCGTTTGCCTGATAAAATATTGAATGTATTTATTTGTCAAAAGGTCCATGTAAAATTGTCTCTCTTCCATTGAATTAGATGTAAACATGTTTACATTTGAAAACAACTGAAAATGGGGGGCAGCTGGTGGTGTGGTGGTTTGGGTGCTGGATTCTCACATGGCTGACTGACCATGGTTCGAATTTGAGACCTGGTGGCTTGCTTTCTCACTTTCCCTCTCTTTTTCTTTCTGGTCAAATGTAAAATAATAATAATAATAAATAAAATTAAATAAATCTTTAAGAAAAAGAAAACAACTGAAAATTAATGTTTCTATAAAATATATTCCAGTATTGAAAAGTATTTAAGAAACCAGCAGATGGCATTATGGTTATGTCACTGGACTTCAAAGTAGTCAACCACAATTCAATTCCTGGACCCGGTGACTTAAAACACACACCAGGCACATGTGCGTGTGTGCCCAAAATCCTAAGAGGAAAATAGAGGAGAAGGGACTGCTGCATGGCCAACCCCCTGGGAGATAATCTCTTGCTTTCTGTCTGTCTCTCTGGCGAGCACATATGCCATATAGCAAAAATCAAGCACATATGCCATATAGGAAAAATCTCTCTCTTAATAAAAGGACATTTTAGCCCTACTCTTAACCTATTTTGTGTGCAGTATTTATTTTCACATTATAAAAAATTAAATTATATATTCTAGCTTTATACTTATTACTTCCATATTGTATCTTATTGTCTTAGAATAATTATCATCATAAATTTTTAAAATTCCATGTATGTTATCATGCTTACCATGCTAACATAAATATATATATATATATGTGGCATATATGTATGCTTAAAATACATCTTGGAACAAACCACAGCACATATAAGTAAATGTGTGTGTGTGTGTGTATGTATGTATGCGTGTGTGTGTGTGTGTGTGTGTGTATATATATATATATATATATAATTGATGCATAGGTATCAATTTTGAATAAAAACTGAGAAGTTTCAAACCACACTATTTTAATGGATATTAATATAGAATAATGCAAAAAGTAAATAAATTATTTATCAACCGTTTTTAAATGTATGAATAAGCCATACTTGATTTTTTGACTCTGAAATGGTTTTTTTATCATTTCAAATAAAAACACTTCGTATTCACTCATGATATATTAATATTCATTTGTGTGTGATGGATTACTTGACAATACACCCAGGAATGTATATTCAATGTTGTATATAGTGAATATAACCCCTGAATCAAGATGCAAAATACTAATGTTCTCACCTCTTTGTTAGTAACTTGCTTTGGTCATTTTAGTAAAGTCACAAAATTAATTTGCTGAGTTTCCTTGTGTGCAAAAGAGTGGAATTATATCATGAATTTTCAAACGAGTTTAGCCATAAAAATCTAATTTAAAATAAAAGCTTATATGTATCCCAACATGTAAAGTAGATAAAACTTCAGCTATTTGGTTGAAGAGCTGGATAGCTAAGATTGCCTGAAATTAAATAGTCCTGGTCAAGGTGATCCATGACCTCCAAATTGTTCAATTCAAATGTCACATCTCAGTTCTCGTGCTCCTTGCCTCCTCAGCAGTATCTGACTGTCCTCCTTACCACACTTTCCACACTTGGCTTCCAGAGCTCATCCACAGAGGTTTGGGTCTTTTCTCACTCACGCCCTCTCCTCAGTCTCTTAGGCTGGTCGTTTCTCTTTACCCTGACCTCCCACCTGTAGTGTGACCTCAGGCTCAGAGCTGTTGGTAGAGTAGAGGCCATCATGTACTGGGTGGTGCTTTCAGTCAGTAATTACTTCATCAGCCTTTCTACTCTGATGTAAGTAAAAGAATAAAGAACGGTCAAGAGAGAAATCAACTTTCCAGGACCTATGAGGTATTTCACTCTCTTTTTTCTACCATATACCTTTCACTCCCTGTCCTTTAGCCAGATTTTGCTGTTCCCTCTGCATTAAATCCTCTTCACTATCTGCCCGGCCTCCCAAGGACACTCAGTCTCTACTCAAATGATACCTCCTTTCTAAACGGTTGATGAACGAAGGCATCCTTTAACCCCACTCCCCAACACACTCACTATCCCTTTAATTCTTGTACTTTTTTTTTGTACCACTTGTCTCTACCTAACAAATTAATATATATTTATGTGTTTAGTATTTCTTCCTCTTCTTGATAATAAGCACTAGCCATGCAGATACTGTTGCATTTCATTATTACAGTCCCAATGTCTAAAATGGTATCTAACCATGTTATTGAGTATAGGCATCCAATAAAAACCTATTTGAGGGACCAGCAGTTAGCGTAATGGCTATGTCGCTGGACTCCCATGTAGTTGACCGTGGTTCACGTCCCAGACCCAGTGGCTTAAAACTCACACCAGGCGCATGTGTGTGCATGCCCAAGATCCCAAGAGGAGAATAGAGGAGAAGGGATTGCGGCATAGCCATCCCCACTAGGGGGTGATTTCTCGCTTTCTGTCTCTCTGTCTCTCTCTGTCTGTCTGGCGAGTGCACGCGCCCTATAGCAAAAAAAAAAAAAAATCTCTCCCAAATTCCTATTTGATAAGTTACTTCTTTCAACAAATGAAACTGGGACAACATTAATTTATTTTCAGTTAGCTAAGTTTGTACCACGAAACATTTCCAATTCATTCTTCTACTTTATTGTAATTTATTTTGCTTAGCATAGGGTCTGTGATAGTAACCAACCTCCACAATCTCTGCAAAATAGACTCGTCACCCAAAATCAGACCACAGACAAGAGTTCTCTAATGTCAAAACAGAAACTACTTCATGAGTCCTTACATATCAGATGAGAGGAACTGAAGTGGCTTGTTATTGTTCTGTATCTTCGAAGAATTTGGCCGAGTTGAAATTCCTGGCTCAGGCCCTAAGCAGACTTAAGTGCATTACTGACTGGTGTGATCCACTTCTCTGAACTTTCAACTCCTCACCTGCAGTTGAAACCATACCTACCTCCCAGGCTGCGGTGAGGATTAGCTCTGATCCTAAGTGCAGTGGACTCGATAGAATGATAGAATGGCAATGTGTGGTGGGCAATAAATGGTAGCTCATTATGAAGCACACGGATCTTCCCCTGTGTCCTCAGATACATAAATGTAATCACTTCTCTGATCATTAACAGAAGTCAGGTAACAGAAGCCAGGGTCTGAACACAGCCATGTAACTATTCCTGCCTCTCAGGTGTGAAGGAGTCTAGACTCCAAGGAAGTAGAAGGAAAGACAAGTGAGATCATAAAAATATAAACTTCCTCGGATTCTAGAGCAAAATTTCTTCAAGTTCCTGATATAAAACTACTTGATACACATTAGTTTACATTTGATTCAGAGAATACTAATTGAAAAGTTGCTTCTTTCTTTCATTTTTTTTTTTAGAGAGGTTTTTGTTATAGGGCATGTGCGCTTGCCAGAAAGACAGGGACAGAGAGATAGAAAGCAAGAAATCATGCCCCAGGGAGGATGGCCACACCACAATTCCTTCTCCATTCTCCTCTTAGGGTCTTGGGCATGCACACACGCACACCCAGCATGAGTTTAAGCCACCAGGTCCGGGACTTGAACCATGGTCTACTACATGGGAGTTCAGTGACATAGCCATTATACTAACTGCTGGTCCCAAAAGTTGCTTATTTCTAATGAACAGAAAAATTTTACTTCATGTGTGCTAAGAGTCCCAGTAATTAAAGTGCACAAATATGTTATATTATCTACAAAAGTTCCCGCTGTATGATGGTCATGCGTTGAACTGTCACTTCAGAAAACTTCCTGTGTCCTTTAGATTGTGACCTTATTTGAAGACAAGATTTTTGCAGAGGCAATCGAGGGAAAACTGAATTAAGTAGGCCCTAATCTGAGTGGTGTCTTTATGAAAAGGGGACGTCTGGAGGCAGATACACACAGGGAGAGCACCATGTAAACGTGAGCATGGCCTTGTGCAAGCTAAGGAGAGCAGCCTGCAGCACAATGTTCCCACACAGCCGTCCAAAGAAGCCAATCCTACTGACACCATACTATGGCAGTATTAACTTGTACTACGTTATATACCTTTTCCAAAAGCTTCTGTAAAGAATTTTTAAATTAATATTTATGCCAAGTTCCATAAAACTTCTATTTTTTTATATCGACAAAAATTCATAACCAGTTCGGAAAGAAAAATGGTTACTTAAAATCATTCAGAATCAGAGCCAGCATTATGCACTATGGTTAAACACTGTACAGAGGAAACCAGATTCTACATGGCTGACTGGGTTCAAACCTTGGCCCCAACACACAATGCACATGTGTGCCCAGAAGATTGGTGGGATGGAGAATTGGAGGAAAAAGGATTGCAATTATTGAAATAATTGTGGAAATGAATACACATAGGATATAAAAATGTATTTCCTATGTGTATTGTACATACCCATAGACTGGTTCAGATGGGTTTGGGAGAATCTATGCTTCATACGTCTTTATTGGGGCTCATAATGCCATTGTCATAGTGACCTACTTAACTTTGTAGAGTTCAGTACGGCCCACGTGCATTTGGACCATAAGGCACTTTTTATTTTTTTTTTGGGGGGGGGAGTGGAGAGGCTTTTCTTGCAATAGGACACATGTGCTGACCAGAAAGAGAGAGACAGAGAGATGGAAAGTGAGAAATCACCCCTCAGGGGGATGGCCACGCCGCAATCCCTTCTCCTCCATTCTCCTCTTGGGATCTTGGGAACGCACGCACATGCATCCGGTGTGAGTTTAAGCCTGCAGGTCCAGGACTCGAACTGCGGTTGACTACATGGGATTCCAGTGACATAGCCATTACACTAACTGCTGGTCCCTCCATAGGGTACTTTTAACCATAAACCTATTGAACTCTTGTGCAATACTTTTTGGGAAATGCCACAATAAAAAAAAATTAATAAAAAAACTTTAATTTATAAATTAAAATTAATCTAAATCAAAACACTTTACTCATATTCCAGTAAATAAAATTACAAAGTTATCAACCACATGACATTATTTAAAATCTTTAAATAACATACTTTGTTATATTTGTTTCCCAGGCCAGCAGGTGGCATAGTGGTTAAGGCCCTGTTCTCCCACATCACTGACCACAGTCTGAGTCCAGGACTTGGTGGCTTGATAATCACATCAGGAGTGTGTGTGTGTGTGTGTGTGTGTGCCCCAAATCCCAGGAGAATGGAGGAGAAGGGATTGCATGGCCATGCCTCCCTGGTAGGTGATTTCCCAGTTTCCTTCTCATTGTCTCTCTGTCTCTCTCCCCTCTAGCGAGTACATGTGCCCTATGGAAATAAAATAAATAAATACAACTTTTAAAAAAGTCTATACATCGCAGAAATTGAATTTTATGAGAAAAACCATAATCACCATGAGCAATTAAAACTAACTTATCAAGTCAATACCTGTATTAAGTCCTTACTTACAGATTTTGCAACAGTCTTCATTATATAACTTTACAATCCCTTCATTCTAGGAAGAGAGAAAAGAAATACAGTTCAAAAACATTGTTATCCAGTTTCTATTTGACTAGAAATAGAAAACTAACTTTCCCAATACTTTAATTAAATATCACAAAATCTTTATAGGAAAATTATTAGAATTTAAGAATTTCTATTAAGAATTTCTTTGTTTTTAAAATTAGGAGCAGATAGTCCATTTAAAATTAAAGTGTATAGAAAGATTACTTAAAAGAACACTTTTTATATGCCACAAAATATGTTCTAACAAAACAAAGTAACATTAGCTGTTCTAGTAACAAACTATAGAAATGATTCCTGAGAATATAGTCTTAATAACAGCTATTCAAAATAGGGGCCATTATATATTTTTAACTCTTTGAAAAATCGAAACCACTCAATTAGAGTAGATTGAATTTCTAAATATAATTGAATTTTAAAGTGGCAAGTCTTTTTCTTTAATATTTTTAACTCCTGGAAATCATCTAAGTACTCTATTAGATTAGACTGAGTGTCTAAATATAAACTTAATGTCAAAATGGCATATCTTTTTCTTTATATCTTATTACTCAAATATTTTAAACTATTATTTGAAAATTATTATTTTAAAAAGTCTCCATTTCATGATGGCTCTTGTCTAAGGCTAAATTAGTAAAGCTTTATTGATTCATTTTCAGAATTCTTAACAGTTTTGTTAACTGCTTTAGTAACTTGGCAACTGCAATCCAAATTAAATAACTTCCTCTATAAAAATGAGTCTGTGAAATAAGCTAAAATTCTGTAACTCTAGTACATGTCACAAGCCATCATCATTTAAAAGATAAATGTTTAAAATATCAATAAGCCTATTTCGCTACATGACAGAACAAAACTCCTTTTTCATTAGGAATTATTATTGCCTAAATAAAACTACAAAGAATGTTTTTAATTGTATCGTTTTCAAAAATTTATTCTTGGAATAGTCTCATCTCTGAGAAAATAGGGAATTGAAAGAAGAAAACTAAAGATCAACAGAGATGTGACCTGTGCTGAGTTCTCCAGAGGCTGTGCTCAGCATAGTCAAAGTGAATGACGCCTAGGCCGGCATGCATTAAAGATGAAGGACAGGACCAGCGGTTATGTCGGGGAGTCCCACATAGTTAATCATTGTTAGAGTCCCAGACTCGGTGTCTTAAACTCATGCCAGGCATATGTGCGGGTGTGCCCAAAATCCTGAGAGAACGGAGGAGAAGTAACTGCGGCATGGCCATCCTATCTGGGGCATGATTTCTTGTTTTCTGTCTCTGCTTCATTCTGTGTCTCCAGCAAGCACACATGCCCTATAGCAAAAATCTCTCTCTCAAGGAAAAAAAAAAAAAAAAAAGGTGAATGACATCATAACTATGACTGTTTAAAAAAGAAATTGGCCAAGCTATGATTGATTAGCTTACTAATCTATATTCAATGGGAGGTTAGATCTGCTGACTGGATGGTTTTACAGTAATCCTTGGATTACAAATAAAACCCAGATACAGTAAAGTGTCCATTCAGAGAGAGTCAGAATTATCTGAAACACCATATATAAGTCAAAATAACAAACTGAGGAAATGAAATAGAGGGGTTTTTTAGCATAAAAATAAATCATTCACCATAATAAAAAAGCAACAATTAAAATATAACTTTGGAAAACATAATTATGTATACTCTCTAAATTTATCTAATAGTACATTTTCTTAGATATAACAACATACTAACCATTTTGCACTCAGTCTCATTAAATGGGGGACAGACCACACTGTAGTTCAGAATCATTGCCCCTTCATCAGTCTTAACACATTCGTATGAGGTGCAATTATAGTGCCATGTACTCCCTACCTAAAAGTGAAATAGAAAGTTATTGTTTTGCATATTAAAGTCTGCTATATTTCTTCACTCCCCTCCTTTTTTAGGTTTTTGTAATAGGTCATATGTACTTCCCAGAGACAGACAAGAGTGACAGAGAGACAGGGAAAGTGAGAAATCACCCCAAGGAGGAGTGGCCATGCCACTTCTCTTCTCCTCTGTCCTCCTCTCAGGATTTTGGGTGCGCGTGCGCGCGCGCGCACACACACACACACACACACACACACAGAGTGTTTTTCAAGCTGCTGGGTCCGGGACTCACACTACTGAATCAGCTATGTAGGATCTAGCACTTCAACCACCACAATACCTGCTGGCCCAAAGTCTTCTATATTCTTTAAATGGAGTATTTTCTATCCTACTGAGTCAAAAGTCAAATTAAGATGCAGAGATCTTCTTAGGACATAAACGTTCCATCTGAAAATATCTCCAATGGGGTTTAAAATCCACGTATAGGCATTGTGCGTGTTTATGTTTGGTTTCATACTCAAACTGAGATTTAAATGTGAAATAAGGTAATTAAGATAAAACAAACAAGTATCTGTTTCTACTGCAAAATTTATTAGATAAGTTGGTCAGATGTCAAAGGTCTTGTACTATTTCCTCACTAATTATAAAACAACAAACCATATTACTTACACAGCTCCTTTCTTGAGATTTGTTTATTCTTCCTTCTACTCCCTATCACCAAAAATATGTTCATATATTTGAATACTGCTTACTGACTTATTGTGCTTCATTTATATACTTTATGGTTAAAGCTTAGTCCTACTTTTTTAATAAATATCCAAATATAACAAGTCTTTGTCACATTCCTGATTTCAGAATTCCTATTTAAAAATAAAGTCAGTTGAAATAATTATTGGACTATAATTCTTGATCTATATTTTGTTTTATAACCCACCTTTATTTATTTATTTATTTATTTATTTATTTATTTATTTATTTATTTATTTGGAGAAGTTTTTGCTATAGGGTACATGTGCTCACCAGAAAGACAGAGAGACAGAAAGCAAGAAATCACCTCCCAGGGGGGATGGCCACGCTGCAATCCCTTCTCCTCCATTCTCCTCTTGGGATCTTGGGCATGCAAGCACACGCACCTGGCATGAGTTTAAGCAACTGGGGTCCAGGACTTGAACCATGGTCAACTACATGGGAGTCCAACAACATAGCCATTATGCCAACTGCTGGTCCACCTTAACCCACCTTTTAAATAATAATCAAACTCTGGCTTAAAGACTCCCTTAGACCAGAAAAGAATTTTGATAAATTTGATTACTTTCTTATCTCTAAATTCTATCTTAATTTAAGAGTAGATTCAAGTCCTCTATAAACCTCAGTTAGGCAGATATGTGAATCCATTTGTTAGACAAAAAATATTCACATTCAAAAACAGTAATATATTTATCTGAAATCCAAAATTTGCTGTTCAATAAAAATATTGTTCTTTTCCTTTGAATGATTAAAAATCAGTGCTCCCCAAAGCCCATTCGGAGAAAAAGTGAGGCTCTACGATAAAATAAGTTTGAGAAACAAGTTAAACAAGTTTCTTCACAATAGAAATTGTCAGATGCCTTGAAATGTTACAAATGTAACTGTGTCTTATGTATTTTAAGTGTACTGTGTTTATTTTACATATTAGGGTGTGTGTATGAAAGGGAGGGAAAGAGAGAGATTTTTCAAGCTTCTTTGACTCAAGAATGCTTTCTTCAGAAAGTAACACAGACAACTATCCTCCAAAGAACACATTTTAGGAAACAGAGAATCCATACCTTATATATGAATGATGTTCCATTTTCCATATAAAACTTGCAGGACACATTTTTGCAGGTACCACAACAATCAAAATCACTTGGGGATGGAGTGTATGCCTGGTGCTGCATATAATGGTAGTACATTGCATTAGCCATACTACAATGCCGGTATTTTTCTTGAATTAATTCTAAAGGTACTTCCCAACATAATTCTATGCTTTTTCTGAACACCTATTCAAATTTGTAAGGTAGAATTTGAGGACCTTCAAATAATAACTGAGTTATATAGCTACATTAGAGGCAAAGTAGAATGTTAAGCTTTTTATCTAACAGCCAAGATTTATTAAGCAGGAGCAACAGCCTCAGGTCAAGCCAGCTGACAAGCTGTAAATTAGACCTCCTAAAGCTCAAGGTCATGCATGGGAAATCGAAAATATGCATTAGATAGCTATATTACATAATAATATATTGTTCAAGAACTATTCAAGTATGTATTTTTAACTCATAGAGTCCACTAGTTCAAATTCTGTAGCTGCCATTCAGATTCATTGACTCTCACCAGAATGACTTAGGACAAATCCTTAGAAATACTTACAATATCACATTCTTTTGAACAATTCACCACTGTAAAGTTCAGAGTGTGAAAGCCTGTATGGTTATCTTTTTCTTCTAGACACTCTGTTGTATGACAAAAGTCCCCTTCCAAATACTTTATCATAGATTGTCCAGGATTTAATACTGATACTTCTTGAAATACACACACATCATCCTTTTCTAATAGGAAAAATAATCAACAAAAAAAGTTGAGTTTTTTACTAATTGATAGATGCAACTTATATTTATAGTTACATAAATGTATTTAAGTCTATGTTTTCATTGTGAAATGCCAATTTTTCAAAACCAGTCAAGATCTTCACCTTTTATATTATTAATAGCCCAAAACTTTACTTAGTAAGGAATATAGAACATTTATTCCTTAATATACAATACAAAATTGATCCATAAAAATCAACTGCTGTTTACTGTTTGAACTTCCTCCAAAAGCTGCTTGTGAACATGGGATCTTAGGGATGCATGACCACTATTGGAGGTGAATGTGGATGGAGGCAAAGCTCTTCATGATGGGAGCACACAAGATTTCATGGACTTTAGTTATTATCTTGAAAAACAAGTTTCCATCTTTCTTGTGTTGCAAAATAAATAGTCATGTACAAGTATATCCTATTTTCTGTTATGGTTCTCCAACATTATTCTTAAAGCTTCCTCTCATATAGAATATAAAAATGTCAAAGCTATGATCAAAAGTGTTTTTTCTTGTAGCCTATGAACTCTTAAACATGAAAATATGTTATTTAATAGAACAATCAACTTTATTTTTGTAATGTTAATATCAACAATAATACAATGGGAAAAAAATTCTAGCACTTTCATAGTGTCTATTTTTTAATTAAATATTTTCATATTAAGGAAAGTCCTAGCACTAACTGAAATTCTATGTCACCTCTGAAGGTCATACTCATTTTTCTGTCCTACTCTCAAATTTCTCAGAACATTTCTAGATATTACAGAAGAGCAAAATAAAAAAAAATGATACATTTTCATACTCAAGTACTAGTGGATGATGTAAATTGTGTAACATATTTCAAAGAAAGTAATTTTTAGTTTATTAATAGTTAAAAACAGATAATATACATTACAATTTAGTAATTTCAAAAAACATAGTTACCACAGATATACTGTACACACCCACAGTCACTCTGAAAGTTATGGTCGATTGTAATAAATTCTCCCTGTTAGAAAGATATTATTATTACATGACTTATGTAGATTACATGACATTGTAAAATACACATGTGCGCGCGCACACACACACACACACACGTATAACTTCTCTGCCACATAGCCAGACATATGGCAGGTACTTAATAAATATTTAATAGTGAATAGTCTTAGGTTAATTAACTCAGTGGTCATCTAATTACTACCCATGAGGGGGAAAAAACACACAAAACATAAAGTGATCGTAGGTTTCTCTGTCTCTCTAAACTTCAACTCTCTCATCTACCATACTGAGTGAATGAAAGTGGGTAAAGTGATGCTTAACTTTCATATGATACTTTGGGGACCTGCCATGGTGGCCATGCTGCTACAACACTGTGCCCACAGGCTGGGACCACACTGGAAGCCCAGGTTTAACTGACAGTCTGACATAAAGGCTGGGCATGATGGCATGCGCCTGTAATCCCAGTGACTCATGGGAACTGAGGCATAATGATCCCAAGGTCAAGGCTGGCGTGGGCAACATAGTGAGACCCTGTCTTATGAAAGAAGAGCCTAGCATTGTAGTATACCACTACAGTACCAGCTGGGAAGCTGAGACAGGAGGACGGTGATAGAACAAGACTCTGTCTTTTAAAATATTTACATTGTTTGATTCTGAGCTTCCAGGGGCAAAGATAACACCTGCCAACCCTGAGAACAGCCCTTCCTGGAAATGCTCATGATCTGCTCTGTGGAGGTGGTCCAAGGCCCTGCTGTCTGAATCTGTGCAGGGCTGCCACAGCAGAGAGCACGAACGGAAGAGGGTAGTGGTTAAGAGCAGAGCAGAATACCACAAGTGAGACTGCCTTTGTGCCAATCCTGGCTGTGCTACCTACAAGCTCTGGGACCTAGGGCACCTTACTTAACCAATTTACTTCTCACTCTCTCATCTGTAAAGTGGGGATAAGAATACTGCTTACCTCTCAGGACTGTTGAGAGAAATAATGAACTAATCTGCACAAAGAACTTAGAATAGGGCTGATACACAGAAAGTACGACCTCAGCTGTTAGTAAACACTGTTGTCTTGACAGATGCTCCAACTCTGCCGTATTGCCCTATTGTGCTTTCCTCCAGGCAAGCACAAGCCTCGGCCTAAAGTTTCAGAAACTGTATTTTAAGTATCAACTTTTCCTGGGTTCATTTAATTTTTATATGACATCAGTAATAAAAATGAATTTAATTCCTGGCCTAAAGAAATGATTCAAAGAAATTCATAGTAATATACAAAAGGTACTTTTTCCCACTAGCTAATAAAATCTTACTTTTTATAGTGTCTTCTAAGTTGTAAAGTATAATGGTTTCATAAACATTAACTCACTTTATATTTTAGAACTTTCATTATTAGGCAATTCCAATGAAACTAGAAATAAAATGTTAGGCTAATGGACTTTAAAAATAATAATAACTTAAATTTCCCCAGTGCATCATCTACTCCAAAGATGAAAGAAGGAGGCATTAGGCTCACACTAACTCTTATAGGCCACTCATACCCATTTTTTTAATAGTTTAAGTCATAACACTCACTCTTCCTCTCATGTTTAGACTTAAGTCTTTTGTTCTTGGCTTTTATACTTACTGCTTTGAGATCTTAACCACTTGTCATAAGTTCTCAATTTCACTTAGAGGAAATTTCTTTGTGATTTCCCTACCAGTAGTTAATATCACAGGAAATAGGATATTTATTTTCACTCCCAAGTCAGCAGCAAAAGCACTTAACCTGTCACCATTTTCGGCCATGGGCAACAGTGCTGTATGAACGGCGGAGGACAAGTTTTTGTGTGGATATGTCTTCATTTTTCCTGAGAGGATAACTAGGAGTGGAAATGCTGGGTCACATAGTAACTGTAGGTGTCACTTTTCGAGCAATTGCCAGTTGTTATGAAAAGCTGTTGCATGCTTTACATTGCCACCTGCAGTGTCTGAAGGCTCCAATTTCTACACAACCTTGCTGATGAGGTAATTTCTGTCTTTTTAATGGTTATGAGGTAGGAAGTCATTGTACTTTTGATTTATATTTAACTGATAACTAATCAAGCTAAGCATCTGTTCATAGGCTATTGCTAACATGCACATCTTATTTGAATAAATGTCTAAGTGTAACCATGCAATACAATATTATTTAACAATAAAAAGGAATGAAGTAGTGATATATGAAATATAGATGAACCATTAAAACCTTATTCTGGTGAAAAGAGTTAGACACACACACACACGCACACACAAAATATGTGCTCTATGAGGGGACTTCAAAAAGTTTATGAATAATGAAATAAAAGTTTATGAATAAATGAAATAAAAGTTTATTTTGCTGCAAACAACATTTTAAATCCATACATAGTTTTTTTTTCATAATATACAATTTCCATGAACTTTCTGAAGGCCCCTTATATGATTTCCTTTATGTGAACTACCCAGAAAAGGAAAATCTATAGAGACAGAGGTAAACAGTGATTTCTGAAGGCTAGGAAGTTTAGAGGGAAATGAGGAGTGAGTGCTTATAGATACAGGGTTTCTTCTTTCAGTGTGTTATAAAATTGCTTGAGTTGATGACAATTCTGTGAATATATTAAAAATAATATTTCAATGAACCCATTAATAAAGATACTGTGAAGCCTAACTTCCTCTCTAAGTTGAAATGTATTTGCTCTCTACATGAATAAACTAATGTAATATTTAAAATGTATCACCTTTACAAAATACTGCCTAAATCACTGAAGCAAACATTAGCCACCATTCAGAATGAGTACTCAGAAGCAATGGTCGAGGTCCATGTGTGTAGAAGCACAAATGCTAAACCCTCATGCAGAGTGTTATGTATCTTTGGATACGGTGGCAAAGGACATTGAAGCTATCAGTTCAATATTCTTACGTCCTATGTGCCTAGTACAGTGCTAATACATAATACAATAAGCACTCAATAAATGTTTAGAATATTGAATGTCAAAACTTGATTCATAATTAATAATCAGACATTCAGAGCTGAGAGAGAGATAAGTGATTGGGCCAATATCTAGCACAAACGCTGGGAAAGGAGAACACAGGAAAGAGGAAGAGGAAAATAGCAGAAGCACCTAGAAAACAGCAGAGGTAGGGTAACAACTAGACCAAGATTAATAAGTGAGCATAGAGGCTTCTACCCAAAGCTTTAAATTGTCTCAAAACACAAGAGGCTTTAAATTACATGGGAGGATGGACTAAGTTTTACATCATATGAAAGTTATTGAAATGCATCAAGACACTATATACCTCTTCTGGATCAGTGAAAGAGCTTTGAATAAAGCTGGTTACAAAAATAATATTCTGAGCTGCTCCCCAGCCAGGAGTGTTTGTCCAAAGATGCAGTACTCTTGAACTCTTGTTGTTCAATGCTCACAATCTTCAGGCTTTACAGATATGTCTCTGTCTGTCTCTCTCTCTCTCACACACACACGCACACACACACACACACACACACACACACACACACAGCACTTGCTCAGTATGCTGCAAAGGGCAAGTCTTTCATTTCTGCTCTCCTGAATTCAACTTCTCTTACATACAGACCTCACTAAAGCCAAGGTCCTCATTCTTGAAGGGCTATACCAGTCTCTGTCATGTCCTGCCCTCTAATGTTTTACTGCCCATATCCATCTATGCAGAAGTAGTAATATCTTCTCCATCAAATACCATTCCCATCCTAATTCTCTTCTTAGGAAGAACATTTTCCATTTCCTATTATATTAAATCTGCGCTGAGCTCCTCTTGATAGAAAACTTAGATAAAGCTTTAATATTCTATGTAAATCACAGATAACTTATCATTGGAGCAAATATATTAATGCTTTTTAAATAAAGCAATGGCATCCTAAGAGGGGTTCTTTTACTTCTAAAACATGCCTCATTTGTTCCCCAGAATATAGCTTTGAACTGGAGTCTAAATAAACTCCCTAAAAATACACCTTGTGTGGGACCAGCAGTTGGCATGGTGGCTAAGTCGCTGGATTCCCATGTAGTCGGCCACGGTTGGAGTCCCAGACCGAGTGACTTAAACTCACGATGGGTGCAAATGTGCGTGCATGGGCGCATGTGAGTGCATGCCCAAGATCCTGAAAGGAGGATGGAGGAAAGGGGATTGCAGCGTGGCCATCCTACCTAGATGGTGATTTCTTGCTTTCTGTCTCTTTCTGTCTTTCTGGCGAGTACACACGCCCTAAAACAAAACCTCTCAAAAAAAGAATTTAAAAAAATACACTGGTGAGACCAGCAGATGGTGTAATGGTTACGTCATTAGACTCCCACATAGTCAACCATAGTTCGAGTCCTGGACTTGGAGGCTTAAAATTCATGCCAGGCATGTGTATCAAGAGGTGTATAGTGAAGAAGGGATTGTAGCATGGCCATCCCCCCGAGGATGATCTTTCACTTTTTGTCTCTCTCTCTCTCTCTCTCTGGTGAGCACATATGCCCTATATCAAAATTCTTTCTAAAAACAAACTCACAAAGAAAACCTTGTTTGAGAAGGTAAAGAAAACAAAAAAAGAAAGATTTGTAAAACACAATGGGATGTATCTAATGGTTACATAAGTGACAGCAGAGTTATCATTATTTAGAAATTAAATCTTTGATATTTTCCCAGGGTCTATATAGTCATAGATCACTCTTTTTTAATTCCTAGTGGAGAACATATGTGCACACCTGTGCACATGCATATAAGAAAGAAAAAGAGCAACCTCAACCCTGCTGAGCAACCTCAACAGGGTTTCAATACACCGTGGTCCATTTCCCCCAGTCTTCCAGCTCATCAGGACCTTGGGCACATGTATGCTCCCAAATCCAAGAGCATGTTTTTAAGCCAGTCAGGGAGTTCAAACCCAAGTTTGGCCATGTGGTTTTCAGCACTGCAGTTTGGTTTGCTACTGACTGTACTGCCAGTCTAGGCCCATGAATAACTTAAAAAGGCATAGGTTGGGACCAGCAGATGACATAATGATTACATCATGGGACTCCCACGTAGTTGACTGTGGTTCAAGTCATGGACATGGTGGCTTAAAATACACCGTATGCGTGCATGTCTAAAATCCTGAGAGGAAAATGTAGGAAAAGAGACTGCAGCATGGCCACCCCCCAGACGGTGATTACTCACTTTCTGTCTCTATCTCTCGCTGTCTTTCTGGCAAGCACATGTGCCCTATAGCAAAAAAACTCTCTTAAAAATTTTTAAAAAGCATAGGCAATTAGCTACATGTATATATATCCCCTCATTCTGTACAACAAATGTATGAGTTTGCTTTCTTAAAGAACTATTTGATACATATTTAAATATTAAAGTAATATTTTTAATGTTCTGCTCCAGTTTAAGACCAGTGAATTTAAGTAGATATCAGACTAGTAGATTTAGTCACCAGTTAAAGAAAAATATATTGCACTTTCCTATCTCAAGTAAAATATAACAGGCTAACTATTCCCTAATACCAGAGTACATTATTTTAATCTACTTCAGTACAATTTAATGAGAATAATTCCATTAACTCTGAGAACAATTACAAAATAAGAAAGTTAAAGGAAGAATAAATTGATATAAATAATAGGACAATTAAAATATGTGTTCTTACCACTTCACAAGTTGGCATAACAAGGTTTTCACAGTTACATTCTAAAAGGCAAAAGTAAACATATTTACATTAATCAAAACACACTAACTTATTTTAATAAAACTTTAAAATATAAAAATTAATTACCACAATGCCATATTGGACAACATTGACCAGATACATTTTCTTTCACAAGATCCATATCTTCTGCACAGTTGAGTAGTGGCACAGGACAGAGATTTGGCTCACAAACTGAAAGGAAAAATTTATATGAAAAAAGGTAATTTAAATTTAAGCTATAATTTTCATTACCTACTATTTAGTTCCTGTAATTTCTGATGTAATGCATGGACTCATAGATCTCGAGAACTGCCTTTCCCACCAGCCAACTGTCATGTGTTACAGAGGGCAGAACCAATGACTCATAAGAAGGTCCAGCAACAGCAGCAGTACTAGGACAGCCCAGTAAGTGGAGTCCTGTGGGGTCTGTGTAACAGCACAACTAAGATGCATTTGGCTTCTTAAATGGAATATATCTAAATTCTTCTTTCTTCTTTCTTCTTCCTTCTTCTTCTTTCTTCTTCTTCTTCTTCTTCTTTCTTCTTCTTCTTTTTTTTTTTTTTTTAGATTTTTGGCAAAGGGAGTGGAGACAGAGAAAGAGAGTGGGAAAATGAGAAATCACCCCCCGGGGTGATGACCACACTGCAATCCGTTCTCCTCCATTTACATGGGACTTTAGGCATGTGTGCACATGCACGAGGCATAATTTTCAAGCTGCCAAGTCCAGCATTTGAGAGGCAGTCTGCCATGTAGGAGTCCAGCACTTTAACCACCATGCCACCTACTGGCCCCATATCTAAATACTTTAATTAATTTAAAACACACTTACCACAATAATACCAAGGACAACAGAAGTGTGTGGTATTAAGATCCACTGTGAGAAATTCCCCATCAGTACATAGTGGAATAGGTTCAGTGCACGGTTCACAAACTAAAGGTGAAACAAAAAGCCAAAAGTCACAGCTGAGCTAAAACAAATTTGTTATTAGTTCAGATTATCACACACAAATCCACAAATCAAATCAAAATAAAATATATCACAGTTAATGAGAAACAAAAAAATATAAGGAATATCACCTTATCTGGTCATAAAAACAATGATACTCCCTGAGCATACGGTTTTAAGCTTTCTGAGCACAGTAACAGTTAGAACACCACCTTACCAGAAATATAGAGCATTTAGATTTTCAGAATAATTTGTTCTTACCAGGTCAAAATAGCTCTGATTTATTTACCTAAGTTTGTTTGTTTGTTTGTTTCTTTCTTTCTTTCTTTCTTTAAGTGATTTTTGCTATAGGCTGTATGCACTCGCCAGAGAGAGAGAGACAGAAAGCGAGAAGTCACACATCAGGGGTTTGGGCCTACACAATCCTTCTCCTCCACTCTCCCCTTGGGATTTTGGGCATGCTCGCACACATGCCTGGCATGAGTTTCAAAGCCACTGGGTCTGGGACTCGAAATGCAGTTGGCCATGTGAGAATCTGGTGACGTAACCATTACACCATCTGCTGATCCTTACTTAAGTTTCTTAATTCAATATTCCAACTTATGAACAGACAATGTCGTAGTTGCTTGTTCTTTTGTCTGCTTGACATCCCTCTGCCAATTTTGATTAAAAATTCTGAGTCACTTTGAGGGAAAAAAACCCTACACACACACACACACACACACACACACATACACACAATCTTGGCATGACGGTTGATCAAAAAAGGTATCTCTGTCTCACCAGGCCACTGTCATGGAATAACAAACATTACACTAATCTGAATCTCCTTTAGTGGAACTGAAATCATAAATAGAGGCACATCAGGATAAGAAATAGAGTTAATTAATCATTATTGACCTCCTCCTAGAGCAATTGATTTCTCTCCTTCCAGAGCTTAGAAGTTCTTCTTCATCTTGATCTTCCCCAAATCCTTCCCTAAACTGATTATACTTAAACTAAGCAGAATCAATCACTTTTTTTCCACTTACAATCAAAGAACCTTAAGTGATTTAAAGAGGTGTGTTTTGACTTTCATAGGTACATCCGAAATCACATTAATCACCAATCTTTGATAATTCATTTGAAGTAAAAAATAGAAACTGATTTATCTTTTAATATTCAGTTAATCAGACAGAATATTTAGCTCCAGTCATTTCCCAGATGTACTGTTTCTATCATTCTTTATTGAAATCATAGCTCATGCATGACATACAGGAGATGAAGATTTAAAGAGATCCTATCATATCCTAGCAAAATCCATTAGTCTAGTTGGTTCTTCAAGGAAAGCCAGTGCCAAATTTTCACAAAAAAAAAAAAAAAAAAAGCCAACTAGATATTGATCTTATTATGGGAAAAAAAATCTTGATTTTATTATCTTAAGCCATGTTTAGACTGATCAATACAGGTTTTGTTGATAGACGATGCTATAAGTTATAATAATGATCAAGAGTCATTAAAATGTTGTATTTTATTTTCTACAGTTATTCGGTTGAATTCCTATGACTATAACATCAGAATATTAGTTACTAGCAGCCCTGTAAAATCATGAAATTTTTATCAAATATATTTCCCTCTCTCCTTTTTAAAGAAACGATCTCTAGAATACTCACTACAGAGTGGAGAGAAACAGCAAGGTTCTCCCTCTTGAACGTGAATCATGAATTGGTCTTCCCTGCATTCTGGTGTTGACACATTGGGGCATTTCACTGGGTCACATTCTGCAGAAACACAGAGCTATTTCAAAATCTGTATAGAGTGAGATGATAAACGAAACAGTGTTGTTTAGATCTCTTTGAATTTAGTGAATTAACTTATTTTAATGATCCTAATCTTGGTGGAAATTTACAAGAAATAGTACATGTGTTTGCTGTGTGTGTGCTGGGGCACACACTGCTGAGACACTGCTCCTCAGGCTGAAACCATATGCATGGCCTAGGTTCGATTCCCAACCCAACCTAAGTGTGTGTGTGTGTGTGTGTGTGCGTGTGTGTGTGTGTCTATGTGTAAGTTTTGTATTAAGAATTATCTTTAGCAAGACAATTCCCAATCTTTTATAATAAATCATTTCCTTGGAGAGACAAAAAATAAGAATCTAATCTACTATTCCCAGTGAACAATGCACTTCACTCTCACTTTGCCTAGTTGATTACTTACCACATTTATACTGAGGACAGCATGAAAGAAGGCTATGGCCCACAATCAATTTTTGACTATCTGTGCACGATGGGATAGTAGCTTCACACAAAGTCATGTCACATCCTAGAAATAAAAGAAGCATTAAAACATCAGTAAACATAACTAAAATCTTGCACTACTAATCCAAAACAAGGAAATGATTCTCACTTCTATTCGAACGACATGTTTTTACACTGCAATTAGATCCATTTGGCTTATAAAAGGACCATACATGAAAATGTAGTAGACTGAAGGTTTATCTATTATTGTTTTTACCCTTGATAAATTGAAGACTTCCCGATCCTTTCTCTTGTCTTGTATTGTTGAATATTATGAATTGCTAATAGCCAAAGTTTTGCATGTGCATTTGCTAAATCAACAAAACCATAATGAGACAAAACTTGCTTTGAGAAAATAGTATTTATGGCAGTACTTCATTGTTACCTCAGTTCTTACATTTTTTTCATACCAAGCATCGCGCATCCCTGATTATGTACAGAGACTATCAACATATTGTGTGGAGTTAACTGACTGTGAGGCTTGGCACACATACCGCAGACTTCCTGCAAACAGCAGGTCCACTTATCAATGATGCCCAGGACAACTTCAGCTTCTCGTTCACAGACGGGTGAAGGTTCTTCCTCGCAGTCAGGCTCTACAGAAATAATGCTTCCATTCTCCAAACACTGGTATAAGGCACATTCATCCACACCTCCGTTCCAAATCTCCCCAGCAGTACGCGGTTGGTCTTCACTATCAGTACATGCTTAAAAAGATCAATAGTGTCAGAACCTAAGCACTACAATAAATCAAGCTGTCATATTGTGGTTTCAGACTATCATAGGGCCCAGGGGTCCAGATTTCATGTTACAAAACTACCCTTTCTCTTTACTTTAATCTTTCCTCTTTCTTTTCATCAGATTAGTGAAAGTTGTTTTTTGTTTTGTTGTGTTGTGTTTTTCTATAGGGTGCATGCACTCGCTGGAAAGACAGAGAGAGATACAGAAAACAAGAAATCACCCCCAGGGGGTATGGTCACCCTGTAATCTCTTCTCTTCCATTCTACTCTCAGGATTTTGGGCATACACGCACATGCACCTGGTGTGAGTTTGAAACCACTGGGTTTGGACCTTGAATGGCAGTTGGCCACGTGGGAGTGCAGCAACATAACCATTACACCATCTGCTGGTCCTAGTGAAAACGTTTTTATAGTCTGCAGAAAATGTTACCCCTTCTATAACTATCTGTAAATTTGTATAGCCTATTCTATAAATAACATAATTTATTATTTTATACTTTTAAATCTTGTTAGTGTAATTTATTAACTCAGTAATATAAATTTAAATTAATTTTAAAATATTAACTGTTAAAAAGAATGTGGGCTGGCTCTGTGCTGCAGAGATAATGCACTGCTCATGAGAAGGTATGTCCCACATGACAACTGCAATTAAAATCCCTAACCTGATCAGCCTGAAACACACATGGCACATGTATATGTGTCCAGGATCCAATAGGCTGGAAAAATGAAGGCAGAATAATGGCATGACCAAACCCTATAGAGAATGCTTCTCTGTCTTTTTCTTTCTCTCTCTCGCTCTCTTTCTCTGGCATATCTTTTTCTTTCTCTCTCTCGCTCTCTTTCTCTAGCATATGCATGCACTCTATCAAAAAAAAAAAAAAGTAGTATTAGAAAACAAGGCTGCTCCCCACCTCACAGTAACTCTCTAACATATGAAAATTTGAAATGTTAACTGCTTTAAAAACTAAATGTGGAAAGTAGGCAGCCAGGCAAAATATTATTCAGTAACTGTTAGTTGTTTTATTCAAAGTTTCATTTTGCAATAAATATAGCCCTCTAGTAGTTTCTTTAAGGAATAGTAAAGGTAAATGTAGTTGCTAGTCACATCCCAAGTCTCCAACAAACTTCTCTTAACCTATTACTAGCACACCAAAGCTCAATGATTTTCAAAGACCTGATATAAGCAAGCCTATGTATTCTAGAATTGCATAGATACTTTCTTCCCTAGCAAACACAAGCTTCTGTCTGAAACTACACATGCATTTTTACTTCTCTGAATTTTCCTTGAATTATTAGCTAATTCTTTTTTTCTTCTGATCATTATGAAAAGCCCAATATATGACAAAGTACCATGCTGCAATTTTGTTTTGCATTTTTTAAAATTTACCACCATCATGGAGACAATGGTTCAAAATAAAGTTGTCTGAAATGAAAATAGGAATATCAAATGTTTTCTCCAAGATAATAATAGCTGTCATTCATGAGTACTTATCAAGGCACAGTGCAAATGCGAAATGCATTTAATAGCACAGTGGATTCCACATGGCCAACTGCATGGTTCCAGTTCTAGACTCAAGAGGAGCATGAAAACCACGCAAGTGCGTGTGAGTGCATGCCTAAAATCCCAATAAAAGGAAGAAATGGAGGAGAGAAGATTGTGGCATGAATATTCCCATGAGATGTGCTTTCTCGTTCTCTCTCTCTCTCTCTCTCTCTCTCTCTGGCAAGTGCACATACCTTCTAGCAATTTTGAAAAAACCATACACTTTATTATATTATGTAACCTTATGGTTACATAATAACCTAATGTAACCTCATTTCCTTATGGGATGACTATAATTTCCCCCTATTTTACAGATGGATAATCTCAGGCTCATGAGGAAAAAGTGAATCACTAACATACAAAATAACTGGAATTGAGTCCACAACCTACATTTAATTCTTAATTTGCTATGCACTTTCCCAGGTATTAGAGGCACAGGTAATGCTTGAAACACACACACACACACACACACTCACAAACATCTAATGGACACATGAATTTAAGCCTATCTATTGATGAAGATGTCTATAGTAATATCTTTGATTTGATTGATATGTACTGCACCCATGTTGGAAAGAAAAACATTTTGTATGCTATAAAGATTTAGTGATAAATGTAAATTTAAGAAATGGAAAAATAATCATTTTTAAACATCACCATTGAAGCTTTCCAATTAATCTCAGTTGAAGTCATATTAAAATCAAATTACAAACAAATTCATTTCCTTAAAACCCCTAATATCTATGTGTTATGTTATCGTAGCACATTTCTCCCATATCTGAAGAAGTTTTAGTTTGCTATACTCCTAGGAAGTCATTTTCCACTTTGCTTCCTACCACATTCTTTCTCCAGAATGCACTGAGTTGACTCTGGCCTGTGGAGAATAGTTCCATTTTTGCACACACAATCTTCTCTTAAGTTTACACATGGAGAGTGTCCATAGAACCATTGATTGAGGCACGTTCTTGCTTCACAAGGTCGAACACAAGGTTGATATTCCTTTCCCTCTGGACAGCTCAGAGCTATGAATAATAGAGGACAGAATATACCAATGGTGAAAGCAACCTATTTGAATTCCAGTTTCTGAAAATGAATTTTGTATATTTAGGTCTTTTTGTATCTGTTTTTCATTTAACATGCAACCATAAATCAAAAACTAAGTCATCAATTGATAATTTTGAGCATCTTCCAAGTATCCAGCTAGAATTAGGTATTATGGTCAGAAAAGTTTACCTGATTTATATCAAATAAATATAACCAACAGGCAGTCCACACTTGGCTGGCATTCAGTAAACTCTTGTGAAGGACTGCTCTGCATCATAAGAAGAGACAGACATAGAAGTATACTTTAAATATATAACTCGACCAAGTCATAAGAAAGAAAAAGGTGCCTGTTCAGGTTCAAGCCTTCACTATCAGAAGAAATTGCTATTCCTGAGCAGTTTCGACTTGAGGTTTTAGAAAGGTCCTGCCGATTTTCAATGATCTTAAAAGTCATACTGTTAAAAAAAAAAATGTACTCAGCTGGCACGGGTATAAATGGGTACGATCTCAGTGGAGAATGCTTTGACAGTGTCTAGTTAAACTGGAGATGCCATAAAGCCCTGATGAATCAGCCGTGCTACTCCTGAATACTGATTACGTCTGGGGAAGAGGGAGAGGAAAGGGACAGGAATAGGCACACCGGGACCTTTATGTGTAAGTGATATCAGAAGTTGGGTGATAAAACTGGTGCATGGGACATAGTTCTCTTTATCCATTTCATTCTTATTAAATTTGTGATTTAAAAAGAATGAAAAGAAAAAGAAAGAGATGAGTGTAATCAAGCGGATATTATTTAATAGTTGGAAAGATTATTTGAGTAAGTTACTTACAGCAATAATCAGGTGTCCTCCACTGAATACAGATGTCAAAATTGTTACACAGAGCCACATAAGCAGAAAGGGCATCACATTCATAGTTCCAAAAATAGGTATAATTGATCCACATCTTTTCACAGAAGTCCTTCGGTGAAACCTACAGATATATTTTCGCCTTAGGATAAGTTACATTGCTTTAGTTTGCTGATGTTCCTACACTAGTGTAAGACTATTTGGAGAATCAGAGGATAGTAAATTATTATTAATTATAGTTTCTCTTAGACCTTATATTTTCAAAAATTTATAATATTGATGTCACCTTTGAATTTTCAACACGTTTTTATAATAAGATAAATATCTACACAAATCTACATCATTCATTCTATGAAGAAAAAATAGAGTATGCTGACCTAGATTTAAAAAATAATTTTTACCACCCACCACCACCACACCCCACCACCACCTCCACCACCACCACCTACCACCAAATGAAAAAAAAAAATTATGAGACAGAAACAAGGAGATATAAGTTTCTTTAAAATATATACATTTTTGGGACCAAAAAAATGGCATAATGGTTACATCACTGGACTCCCATGTAGTTGATTGTGGTTTGAGTCCCAGGCCCAGTGGCTTAAAACTCATGCCAGGTGCATGCGCATATGTGCCCAAAATCCTGAGCAGAGAAGAAAGGAGAAGTAATTGTAGTGTGGCCATAACCCCTGCAGGGTGATTTCTCACTTTCTGTATCTCTACCTCTGTCTCTCCAGCAAATGCATGTGCTCTATAGCAAAAATATCTCAAAAAAAAAAAAAAAAAAAAAAGAGAAGAAATTATGCCATAGGGCATGTGCACTCACAAAAGAAAGAAACAGAATGAGAGGAAAAGTGAGAAATCATGTCAATATTTTAAACATTCAAAAATCTATATTGCCAAGTAAATTAAAGCTCCAGAAACACATGACATTTTTATCATATGATTTCAAATCCTTTGTCTTTCACCTCAGAGAACTCACAAGATAGGTCAATTTTGGAGTCTATACTTTCCTATCACAAGAATTCATCCACAGTGAGCTCCTTCATAACTTGACAATTGCTTTGCTCTTCCCAGACTCTTTCCTTCCGCGTATCTTGAGCTGTTTCAGTGTCTTTCTCACATGTTTTTATACCAGAGTTACTCAGTCAATTTCATCATTCTTCCTCCATTTCTGAGAAATGCATCCATCTAAACAGTTTCAGTGTCTAAGTCTTTGTGAAGTGTTCTCCAAACCTGTGATCTTAGGCACCTCCACATTGTAATTATTTACCAACTGGGATTCTTTAGGGCAGGAGGAGGATCTTACCCATCTTGGTATTACAAGAGTTTAACACAGTGCCTAACATGCACTAGATGCTAGCTTTAGCTACATGATTTATAAAATACTGCATTTGTCCTTTATCTCTCACTATGTACCTGTCTATCTATCTATTTTATTTATAGAGGGATTTTTACTATAGGGTGTGTGCACTTGCCAGAGAAACAAAGAGAGACAGAAAGAGAAAACTCATCCCTAAGGGGGATGGCCACGCTGCAATCCCTTCTCCTCCATTATCCTCTCAGGACATTGGGCAGGCATGCAGATGCAACCAGCATGAGTTTAAGACACCAGGTCTGGGACTTGAACCATAGTCAACTATGTGGGAGTCCAGTGGCATAACCATTGTGCCATCTGCTGGTCTCACTCTCACAATTTATTTTTAATGGTATAGATCATTTAAAATATCTATTAATCTCTGAAACTCAGGAAGTTAGAGACTATTTTAAGTAATAATTTTATTTATTAATTATTATTATTTCATTTTAAATTTAACCGGGGTTGGGGGAGGAAAAGTGAGAAAGCAAGCCACCAGATCTAAGACTCAAACCATGGTTGGCCATGTGGGAGTCCAGCACCTTAACCACCATGCCACCTGCCTGTCTCAGAAGTTAGAGACTATTAAAGACCAATTTAAGAGACCAGCAGATGGCATAATGATTACATCACTGGACTCCCACATAGTAGACTGCCATTTGAGTCTCAGACTTAGCGGCTTGAAACTCACAGTGGGTGTGTGTGCATGTGTACCCGAAGCCCTGAGAATGGAGAAGGGATTGCTCCATGGCTGTCCTCCTTGGGGGCGGGGGGGGGTTGATTTCTTGCTTCTGTCTCTCCCTCTCCCCGTCTCTCCAGTGTGTGCATGTGCCCTATAGCAAAGATCTCTCTCAAAAAAAACAAAAACAAACAAACAAAAAAAGACCAATTAAATTAAATATGTGACAGATTCTATTACAAGCACATGACTAGGAGGCCAGGAGCATAAAGAACTGATTAAAGCTCACTGTCTTGGTTTCTATGCTGAATTATCAAGTAGCATTGATCTCTTTCTGTGACAGGTATTTATTCACAAGACAGATTTTTTTTTTCTGAAATCTTAGATACAGTTCTAACAAACATAGGGAAAAAAAACGAAATTATTTTTCTGTCTCCGTAAATCTAAAAATACCACATCATTCTGAATTCCAAAGCATGCTGACACAGAGAGGATAAAACATTCTCAATGGAAGAACAGCAATTTATTGGCTTTTACTCTTAATATGTCTAACATGACATTTCTTGTTTATGGTAGAATTTGACTTACTTTATCATGGCATGGAATGAAAACTCTTCGATTTAATAACTCAATGCAGTGACTGCAATCATGCTCAGTACAATTCCTAGCAGGTCTTCTTGTTGTTACTTCAAGTGATTTCTCGATTTCCCAGCTCTCAATAAATAATTCTATGTCTTCCAAATTTGTAATAATTGTACCATTTTGCATCTTTAGGTCATCATCTGGATCATCATTGCAAATCCCTGGAAAGAATATGTGACATTTGGAAAAAACAATTTTTACTTTAAATCCAAATTTAGGCAGTATAACTAAATCAGGTTAATAATTGATTTGAAATGAACAAGGCTAATAAGTTGCCAAGTTTGTATCCTTTGACTTAAACATTGATAAATAAAATTGTGAGTTTGATTCTGTGATAAAATAGTAGAGATCTGCCTTAACCAGATCAGAAAGAAATCATAAACCTAGAACTCAAGGTATATGAAGAGATCATAGTAGACTTAAAAGAGGAGATTGATTCTATTCCTACTGTCTTGCACTATTATCACCATCCTCTAATTTAAGAACTATTGGGCCATTTTTTTTTACATATTTTTCTATATAAAAAATGTCATGACTTTCCCAACAACCTAATATTAAATTTTAAATCTGGTAGGTATTTAAAAAAATGGATACTTGGTTATTCACCCCTAGGTTTCCATTCCCCTGGGACAGCTTTGCCTGAAAACATTATGTTTTTTCTTCTTAGGAACAAACACTGGCTAGCACCAAGCACCTGATACCACTGAGGTGAGTGCCCAGACTGGCATAAAGGTAATCCTTACTTCTTAGCACTAGCAACTTTCATAGGTAATCCACACGTAAACCAGACAGCTCACAGCAGTCACTTAGACACACATAGGGTAACTGTTGCCCAACTCAAGATTAAACTGGGAATTCTAGGACAATCTCTCATTATTGGGCAGTTGATGGCTAGAATGATTTGACTTGCCACAGTCTCTAGCTTCACTAAAGAAGTCCTGACTAAGGATAAGTTTCCTCTTCATCAAGTGCAATGCACTGCCCAGCAAAGTAGAGAAATGGGACCAGAACCCCAGTCATATGTTAACTAAATCTCAACCTATCTTAAGGCATAATTGTACTCAATTTCCATGACCCTGGGCTATATGCTTGGTTTGGGTAACACTCTTGTTCACTACCTTTTAGTTCACATCCAGCCAAGTGATCCTGACAACACCCAGATCTCCTAACTAACCACCCTTCTTCAAAAGAGATCATAGAGTTTAGGGGGTGACCTCTGGTTAGCTAAAAGATGACCCTAGCACCTTCTCCATAGTGCTTAGCCAAGAATCTAGTTGGCAGAGTGTCTGTCTACATAAAAGCAGAGCTTAATAGCCAAAGAGGGGAGAAAAAAAAAAAAAAAAAAAAAAAAAAAAAAAAAAAAAAAAAAAAAAAAAAAAAAAAACATGAGAAGTAAACAAAAATCAGGCCACTCTAAAGTGATTAAATCATAGGAGAAAATATGCTTCCTCAAGTCCATTATCACTCACTAATTACTACTGAATTACTATGAATATGCAGTAATAACTATTTCCACAATAACCTTATGTTACCATAGAAGCTTGTACTACATTTAGCATACTCCAAACAAGCAAGGATATACAAACCATTTTAGCAAAACTCCTCTCTAAATGTTTATGCTTTTATAGAATAAATTTTGATATTTCATGTAATTTGTCGATGGTAAGAGTTTAGGCACTCATTTTCGAGTTGTCAGCGTCACTAATAATGTCAGACACACAGATGATGGTCCATAAATTTGTACTCAATTAAAATTGAATGAGGTTAAAGTAAATATCACATTTATACTAAACTAACATTTACTGACAGTGTATATTAATCAATAATTAAGTGTTTTACATAGACTTTCATATTTAATCCTAACAACAATCTTGACAGGTATTACTGCCACCATCTTAAAATGAGTGAATTGATGTTCCTTTAAAGGAACAGAGCTATGGAGGATAGATACCTCATTCGACTTTAGAGCAGATGCCGAAAGTTAAGCATTTTTGTTGTTGTTATATACCTACAGATATTTCTAATTTGTTTTCTTTGACTTATAACTCTTTATATATCTAAACAAGATACTGCAATATTAAAACCATATGTAAAGGTATAGCTAAACTTTACACTTCATAAACAACTGAGTAAATATTCAGAATATCGGGTTCCTTCAGGATAACACGAGCAGTTTTCCCAGATTTCAAATTTTTAAAAAGTGCCAGTTTTTCACGCCGGGCGCGTGTGCGTGCGTGCCCAAGATCCCGAGAGGAGAAAAAAAAAAAAAAAAAAAAAGTGCCAGTTTTATCACTTACATATTGAGATAACATTGGTACCTACTTATTAGCACTTACTAGAACTGAGTTGAAATATGTAAAATAATGCTGACAGTTCACTAACGCTTAACAGAGACAAGCTTGTAGAAATGTAAAACGGCAGCATAGTAATAGTACTAAAGATATATTTCCATAAAAATCCAAATTCCAGTGTTATTTCATACTTCTTAGACTATTTATTCCAAGTCATTGCTTCCCTCAATATTTTCATGGAAACTGACATTAATATCACATCTCAAATCTGAAAAGTGGGGCAACAGGGTCCAAAATGGTGAAGTGTGAAAAGGAAAAAAAAATAATGTTAAATAAATCAAGATTTGAAGAGCAGAGCTCACCACATAGTCCTTCTGTGTAGGATGACAAGTTAAATTGGAAACCAAAATGAATATCTAGGATTCCTGTAAGATGAGTCCACTTTATAATCAGTCCAGCTGGAGTAGTAACCACATACATTGAACCAGAATCTTCTATGGACAGTTCTTGATTTGAAAAAGGCAAAGGCACAGCAATAGAATCCACTTCTACCTGAAATAACACAAATGCACCTGTCATGAAATGTTTATATAAATAACACTCATTAAAATGAGTATAATACAAGCTATTCCACTTCTGATTCAATTTTTTAATTAAAAAAAAAATCTCTGCTGCTGCCACAGCAGCTTATCATAACCTCTAAGTTATTTTTAATTCTCCCTTTGCTATACCTTGCTATATTCAGTATTTGTTCTAAATTCAATACCTTTAATTTTCCTCAAAATTGAACTTTCTTTTTTACTGTTTACTTTCATGTCTATTTTCCTCATGTGTGTTGATTACACCATAACCATCCAATATGAACTTAAGGTAATAAAGCTATTTTCAGGATCTTTTCTTTATTTTAGGTTCTTTCTTTGATCTTATAAAACAGTGTTTAACTTTACTTTTAATAAAAAGCATGTGTCAAGCACAGGAAAGATCAAAATTCAAGCAATTGTACTTAATGAGTTCGGACTGGATTCTAGACTGCATTTTTAGTTCTTGGTAATAGTAATTAGGCAGTCTAAGGATTATGCAGTCGTCTATTACTTAAAAGTGGGAATATATTCTCAAAAATGCATTGCCAGGCAATCTCATAGTTGAGGGAACATCTCAGAGCATAGTTTAAGAAACCTAGATAGTATAGCTTACGACATACCTAGACTATACAGTATAGTCTATTATAATCTTAGCAGACTTCGATCATAGATGAAGCCCATCACTGACAGAAATTCTATAAATATGCACATGACTATACTTTGAAAAGCAGTGCTTTAAATAATGACAATGACATGAAATCATGAGCTGATACTGGCGGTGAATTTCATGAAGTTAGTCTTCACCGATAGCAATTTCTCATCTTCATATCTTGCTCATACTGCTAAGCTTAGGCCGAAACATTTCTTTCTAATAAATCTTTAAGATTTATCTTAGTTGTCATCTTTGCCATAAAGACCTATCTGACCTCCCTAAAAGCATATTAGTGACCCTTCTCTCTTTGTCCATGATATTTTGGTCATCGTTCTTTCACTATTCCTCCTATTGTTTTAATAGGCAGATGATTAAATTTATGCAAGCCACACAAAACCACATCTTATTTGAGACCAGACTGTGTTGTTTCATTGTGTAAAATAATTTTGTAAATGACCAGTGATTAGCTAATTATATCATCAGTAAATGACCAGTGGAGAGGCCAAAAATAAGCCCTTCCAAATGCTCAAAATAATGGCACTGATGAGATTTGAATTTATTTCCTACCCATTTCTCATTACTTTATCAACATTACTGAAATCAAAGGTATGTACAAATTTATCTTTCTAAAAGTACCTCATTCACAAATTTGAAGTTTTACACAATTTAAACTTCTTAATACCTTCTTATATGTTAGACTCATTTTACCATCAGTATTTCCCAAAGGGGGAAAAAAAAATCTATAGACCTGTGCTAACAGACTGAATTATTTTGAGAAAGCCTACAATAGCTCAACCATTTTAAGCAAAATCTTTATATAGTTTTTTTCTCGTATTTTTAGAAAGAACCATTTTGATCTCAGTGAGACAATCAAAACTCATTCCAATTTGGTAAAAACATGGGAGGACTTCATGTGTTTATTTTAAGCTAATTTTAAAATTAGCTTAAATTTTAAATTTTAAAATTTCATTTTAAAAATGAAATTAAAGCACAAGTTTATTTTGGTACAAAAATGTCTTGAAATTCATGCATAGTTTTTTCATAATATACATATTCCATAAACTTTTTGAAGACTTTTTGTATATTCTTCGATGTATGGGTTTTTCCTGTAAAACCTAATGATTCCTTTCAACTTTTAATTGTGCATTGCTCTTTGGTTTATTTCAATAAGGTTAAATATTTCTTCAGTTTTTATTTCAATTATCATTTATTCACTGAAAAATTAATGGTGTCAACACCGAGAAATCAGTCCTTTCATCTCTTCTCTTTATTCTGGTATTTTTGGCTACCCTCTTTTCAACATTATGATCCCTCCTCTTCACATCAATTTCCGCTTTGTCTGATTTGAAACACAAACACTAACCCTGACACAAAGAAGGTTGGCCACTCATATTATCCAACAGGGCGTCAGCAAGTCTAACTCCACCCTTACAGTTAACCTTGCAAGGGAGAAATATTTGTAGCAGCTGACACATGACGGATGAAGAAATGCAGTATCAGAAAGCACAGTTTCAAACTGCCCATGGAAAGAATGATTAGACATAATTGAAATAAAATTTAACTGATATATTTCATTCTCCCTCTTTTTGGAAATAATTATGATTATATCATTTCTTTTTATTTTCTTCTAATGTAAACATAATTTTTAACTCTGTGCTCTTACCTTTCTTGCTAGCCGATCAACAAGGAGTTTACTTATAGGTGTTGTCACATTTAACTTCTTGAAACAAAGTCCAGAAATTCTTCCAGAGGAAGACTTAATTAAAAAAAAAAAAAATAGATGTTATCAAGTTAAATATAATTTCAGCAATAAATAGAATGAATTTATCGAATGCTTTGCAAGTACTCACTAGTTTTCTAAATGAGTTTCCATTCTGAAAAACAAACAAAAAAATGATTTTATAAGAAATGTATTACTTGACTTATTGAAACATTATTTGTTTTAATGTTTTATGGCTTTAAATGTATTTATATAAAACCTTTTTTGGATTAAATATCAGATAATTGATCTAAGTAAGTTTTTTTGTTTGTTTGGTTTTTGGTTTTTGGTTTTTTTTTTTTTGGAGAGATTTTCACTGTAGGGCGCGTGCGCTCGCCAGACAGACAGAGAGAGACATAGAGACAGAAAGCGAGAAATCACCCCCCAGGGGGGATGGTCACGCCGCAATCCCTTCTCCTCCATTCTCCTCTCGGGATCTTGGGCACGGACGCACATGCGCCCGGCGTGAGTTTTAAGCTACCAGGTCCAGGACACGAACCGCGGTCGACTACGTGGGAGTCCAGCGACATAGCCATTACACTAACTGCTGGTTCCCTCTAAGTACGTTTTAAGCCTATATCTACACTAAGAACCCCTAATGTTGACAAGTTACAGATCTATTAAAAAATGACTTTAAAATGGATTATCTCCTACCTGATTCATCGAACATTTTTCAATATGAGCAACTATAATCTCCCCAGGAATTCTTATTAAGATGTAAGAAGCCATACTATATAATGCTGCATTGTTTCCATCAAATGTAATAATACTCAATTCTGACAAGATGGAACACCGACCTTAAAAAAAGAAAATATGGCAGTGAGTGAACTTGGTCTACTAACTATTCATATTTTTGTAACAATTACTTTTTTTAAAAGTATCTTAGGCTGGCTCTGTGACATAGTAGTAACTAACACAAGCAAAGCTAGATGCATATGTAAGATCACAGGTTCAGTTCCCCAGCTCCCTATACACAGCAGGCATATATGAGTGGGCCCAATATCCTGATTGGCTGAGAAGGTCAGGGTGCAGGGAGGATTGGGATGTGAGACCCCATGGAGGTGCTTGATTCTCTTTCTATCTCAATATCATGGAAGAAATAAAAACTTTTTCAAAAAAAATCTCTAATCAGCCTTATGATGTTTGATAAAATGCAACTCTTAAGTTACATACTATAAAACTAAATCATAAATCAGATAAAGAAAGCTCAGAAACAATAACTTTGGTTTCATGAAGCGACAGGTTCAAAAAGCAACAATCTCTTTGGATTAAAAAAAATTGACCACCACATAAGAGATGTAAACTTACAAGGACATTCCCACTCTGGACAGCAGATATCACTGTTCACTTGAACAGGCCTTCCCCGGAAACCACAGTCAGGCATTGTCACATCTTTCGGGCAATTAAGAGACCAATTGTATAACTTCCACTCCATATCAAGGCATATATATTGGCTACAATTATAAACAGGATCAAATTGCTGAAGCTGTCAATAAAAAAAAAAGGCATATATATTGGCTACAATTATAAACAGTGTCAAATTTCTGAGGCTGTTAATAAAAAAATATATATATAGTAGGTTTGGGTCACCATTTTTAATTAATGTTTTCCATTGATTTTTTTTTTTAATTTCACATACACACTGCCTATAGTGTACATTTCCTAAATACAAAAACTTTTTTAAAAGAATTGTTTTATTATTATTTTGAATTATCTATAAGGTATATGCATTCATAAGAGGGAGACAGACAGACAGAGAGAGGAAAGTGAGAAAATAATCCACCAGTTCCAGCACTCAAACCATAGTCGGCCATGTAGGAGTCTAGTGCCTTAACCACCACACCATCTGCTGGTCCCAAAACGTTTTCAAACGTAAAGCATTAAAAATTCACTACAATTTTTACTGATATACTCTCTACAATGCTCAAGAGGTACTTAATTTCAGCTGTACCTTTATATTCATTTGATAAAAGAATTGCCTATATACATGGATGAAAAAAATAGTCTTCGAAATTCTCTAGATCAGTGTTTTGCAAGTAAAGTAAATTTATATGGTAGCAGTTAACCTTTCTTATAATTCTGAGTAAAGTTAATAAAAGAATATAACTTCTGTTAATGTCAATTAAAAAGAAATTACAATACTCCCCAAATATTTTATTAAAAATTCAAATATGACACCAGTTTGACAGTACCTAAATAGTATCATTATAAGTTCATTTTCATACAGTTTGAAACTTATATGAACAAATAACAATAAAGAAGAGGCAGTTTAGAAGTCATATTTTATTAAATTATGATAATAATTCTAGCAATGTTAAACCCAACATTGTTCTGTCAACCTAGTTTCCTCCCACAATAACCCCCTGAGATAGGAGCTGTTATTTTTCCTATTTTACAGATGAGGAAATCAGGATAGTGGTTAAAGTAACTTGTGCAAGGTCCCATAGCTAGTAGGTAGTAGAGCCAGAATTCAGGTTCTGGCACTGTCCTTCAGGAATCATCTGTGCTCTTGATCGCTAATCTACATATCAGGATTTAGGAAGAAAAATGAATAACTGCTTAGCACCTATCATATGTCACACAGTAATAAAATATTTAATTTACTTCTCTCTAAATCTTTTGAGTCAGTTTCTATCATTCAAATACTATACGTAATTTAAAAAAAATAATAGAGAAGTTAAATCATTTTTAAATAGTGAGAATATTAAGTAATGATTTTTAGATTTAAGAGGCAAAGATAGGCTCAATTTCCCAGAATTATCTGTGTACTAGTGGTACCACCTTTCAGGTACTGAGCTTGTTTCCAGCTAACAAGAAAAATAAAAGCAATTAGAGGAAAATTAAAGCCCTCCCACTAGCTAAATCATGAAAATGATTTCATATCTGCCACTCTACTGAAACTATTTTTGAGAAAAGATACCAATGAACTATACATTGCTAAGTCCAATGACCAATTCTCGGACCTCATCTAACTTACACTATTAATAGATTTAGTATGATTTATTACTTCGTCTCTCCTACAATCCCCTACATTTTATCTTGCTTCAGTGACTGATGTCCTGTGCATGTTTCTCATCTCCTCTTAACCTAAAGTTCTAGTGACCCCCTTCTCATCTCTATCTGCACTCACTTCCTTTGGGATCTCACTAAGTCTTGTTACTTTAAATCCCATATAGCCATTGAGAATTCTCAGAATTTTATTTTAGATTGACTTCAGTTCTACACTCCATGTATATTTACCAGATCTACACATCCGAAGCTTTTTGATACCTATATCTCTAACTTAACATGAAAAAATTGAACTAGTGCTTATTCCCACAATTTCCTCATTCTCGTGAACACCTATCCTTCAGTTTCTCAAGACGAAAATCTTTGAATCCTTGATGCCTTTCACTTACATCCTACATCTAATCCTTCAGCAAATTCTACCTTCAAAATATATCCAAGTCCATGTGTTTCCCATCACCTCTTCTGCTATCACCTGGTCCAGCCCACCACCATCTCTTGCCTCCTAATTGCTTCTATTCTCTCCTTATACTCTGCTCAGAACGCAGCACTTGAAATGATCCTGAAACAAAACACATTATGTCCTTCCTCGGCTCAAAAATACACAATCGCAGCACTTGAAATGATCCTGAAACAAAACAGATTATGTCCTTCCTCGGCTCAAAAATATACAATATCTAGGGAAGCAGCAGTTAGTGTAATGGCTAAGTCGCTGGACTCCCACATAGTCGACCGCAGTTTGCGTCCCGGACCCGGTGGCTTAAAATTCATGCTGGGCGCGTGTGTGTACGTGCCCAAGATCCCGAGAGGAGAATGGAGGAGAAGGGATTGCGGTGTGACTATCCCCCCTGGGGGGTGATTTCTCGCTTTCTGTCTCTATGTCTCTCTCTGTCTGTCTGGCGAGCGCACGCCCCCTATAGCGAAAATCTCTCAAAAAAATATATATGTATACACAATATCTTCATCTGTTGTTGCCTTGGTATTTACAATGATCTACAAGGTCTTACATAATCTATGTCTTTCTCTGTCTGTCTGGCGAGCGCACGCGCCCTATAGCGAAAATCTCTCAAAAAAAAAAATATATATATACACAATATCTTCATCTGTTTTTTTTTTTTCTTCATCTGTTGTTACCTTGGTATTTACAATGATCTACAAGGTCTTACATAATCTACTTTATTTACTACTGTTTTATCCCTTCCTTTCTTAATGCTTTCCTCATTATTATTTTATTCCTGTAATATAGGTCCATTTTCACATCAGGATCCTTGGTTTGCAGGACCTTCTGCACGGAGCTCATGCCTCTGTGATACTCTCTCTCTCAGCTTTTTCAGATATTTTGCTCTGAAGTCATTTAATCCAACAAGGATTTTCTGACCATCTTATGGAAAGTCATTTTATTTTCCTCCTGGGCCGTACCTTCTAATATTTTATATAACTTGCTTACTTATTTTGCTTTTTGGTTCTCTCAGAAAATCCAGTAGAATGTAAAATTTGTAAGGCAGGAATTTTTGCCTATGTTAATGTTTTATCTAAGACATCAGAATAGTACCTAGCTAAGACAGATATTCGGTAACTATCAGTTGAATAAAAAGTCTCTCAGAATAAATGTCACATTTGAAGTGAGGAAGGGTCTGCCCATGTCTCAGCTGAGAAAACTACTAGTTGGAGAGGCTAGTAACTTCTTTTCTTACTTACCAATGTATCTTTACCAACTTTCATAATGTCTAGCATATAATAGCTGCTTGATAAATATTTTATGAATGCTGATTTACAGACAGTACACACTAGAAAATTTTTAAGAAATCACTATGAGGGACCAGCAGACGGTCTAATAGTTATGTTGTTGGACTCCTACGTAGTTGACCACAGTTCAATCCCAGACCTGGAGGCTTAAAAACTCATACCAGGCACATGTGTGTGTGTGTGCATACCCAAGATCCCGAGAGGAGAATGAAGGAGAAGGGGCTGTGGCGGGGCCATCCCCCGAGGGAGTGATTTCTCACTTTCTATCTCTCCCTGTCTCTCCGGTGAGCACACATACCCTATAGCAAAAATCCCTCTCAAAAAAGGAAAGGAAGAAAGAAAGAAAGAAATCACCTTTGAGATCTTATTTAAATGTTTTTTTTCTTGGTGTAGTAAGAAGCTAACTAATAAATAACTGAGTTAAAAAAATTGTTAAAATGTAATGCATACTTATTATCTTTTATCAAATATGGACTAGAAAAAAAGCATTCTTTTAAAAAAGTTTAATGATGTTTAGATAGTAATATAGAAACTTGGGCATAGGCTATAAAATGACAAATACAAAAGATTTTCCCAGGCCTACCTCACATTCCAGACCTGTCGTTGGTGTTAGCATGTCTGACGGAGTTATTGTTTCTGGACCTATTAGAAATGAAGACGTAATCCCCATTATTATTGATGGAATAGTAGCTATCATATATGAAATTCATATGTGACAAAAAATGCGGTAGGAAATTTTATAAATTGAATATATTATTTCATTTATTCCTTACCAGAATCCTGTGAAGTAGGTAATATTGTCATTTTATAGATAAGGAAATTAAGGTGCAGTAAATAAACAGAATTCAAACTCCAGCAATCTGCCTTTTAATCACCATTCTATAAACACTGTCACAGTCTTGATGGTGCCAACATAACTGTCTGAATAAGTAAATATATGATTGGTATCACTAAAGGTTCCTCAGGAGGCGTTTTTTTTTTGTTTTTGTTTTGTTTTGTTTTGTTTTGTTTTGTTTTGTTTTTGAGAGATTTTCACTGTAGGGCGCGTGCGCTCGCCAGACAGACAGAGAGAGACATAGAGACAGAAAGTGAGAAATCACCCCCCAGGGGGGATGGTCACGCCGCAATCCCTTCTCCTCCATTCTCCTCTCGGGATCTTGGGCACACACGCACACAAGCCCGGCGTGAGTTTTTTAAGCCACCGGGTCCGGGACACGAACTGCGGTCGACTACGTGGGAGTCCAGCAACATAGCCATTACGCTAACTGCTGGTTCCCTGTTTTGTTTTGTTTTCGATAGGCTTTTTGCTATAGGGCACGTGCACTCACCAGAAAGACAGAGACAGAGAGATAGAAAGCAAGAAATCACCCCCCAGGGGTGAACGGCCATGCCACAATCCCTTCTTTTCTATTCTCCTCACAGGATTGTGGGCACACACACACATGTATCCAGCATGAGTTTAAGCCACCAGGTCCGGGATTCGAACCATGGTCGACTACATGGGAATCCAGCAACATGGCCATTATGCTAACTGCTGGTCCCTTCAGGAGGATTGTTGTATATTGACCTTGTATTCTGAAATGTTGTTGAACTCAAATATTATTACTAATACATCAGAGTAGATTCCTTAGAATAACTGATATATAAAATCATGTCATCTATAAATAAAAAGAACTCTACTCTTCTTTTTTTTTTGGAGAGGTTTTTGCTTCAGGGCACGTGCGCTCACCAGAAAGACAGAGAGAAACAGAGAGACAGAAAGCAAGAAATCACTCCCCAGGGGGGATGGCCATGCAGCAATCCCTTCTCCTCCATTTTCCTCTCAGGATCTTGGGCACGCACGCACAGGCGCCTGGCGTGAGTTTAAGCCACCGGGTCCGGGACTCAAACCGTGGTCGACTACATGGGAGTCCAGTGACATAGCCATTATGCTAACTGCTGGTCCCTCTTCAGTTCTTACCCCTGAGGATAATAGAAAATACTCCATATCCCTTACATGTGAACTTAAGTAATTTAAATAGTTTTAGATTGTAGAGATATATGCTAAATGCTGACTTGAAAATATTAGTGAACTCAAAGTAGACAGCAGTACTTAAAAGAATTATCAATCTATTCACAGGTATTAGTCTAAGCAGTCTTTTTTCATAGACTTATTCCTTCCACAGATTTAATGTTAGGAAAGTACATACAGCCCTTCTCAAAAAGTGTTTAGAACTCTCCTAAATTCACTGCTGCCTAAAATTTTACAATAGAGTGATTCTTCATCTCTAAAAGGGTGATTAACACCTCTCTCTGAGGCAGCTCTTATAAGGATTTAGTGCATGCCAAGTGCTTAATTCAATGCCTGCTGCATAATAAGTAATAATGTTAACTAATAAAAATAGTGATACTGGTAGTGGTAGTAGTGAAGCTACTATTGAAAAAATCATAGGGGTCCTTAGAATCCTTCAATGATTTTTCATTGCCTTCAGGAAAAAAAAATGTTTTTTCCATAAATCCTTTAGGTTCTGGCCCCTGATACACTCTCTGATCCAACCTCTTGGTGCAATCCCCCTCACATTACATGGCAGGTTTTAAAGTGAGTGAAGGAAGCATAGCTAGGAGCCCAGCATACTTCCTTGAGTCTGGGACAAAACACAAAAATGAAAATGGAGGCACTTAAAGAAACTTCGATTTATATATATGAGAGGAAAATGAAGTACAGGTTTAGTTTGAAGCAAACATTTTTTTAATCCATGCATTATTTTTTTTTTTACAATATACTTTTTTCATGAACTTTTTGAGACTCTTGTATGTCTCCTTAAAACTAACTGAATTATGTGAAAATGTAAGCATTGTTTAGTAAAACCTGAACTTTGGGATCAGGTTTTAGAGTCTTAGATGTGAGGAAAGTCCAGTAATTTATACTAACTGAAATGGACAAAGAGTCAAACTGAATGTAGAAGCCATTCAGAAAATGTAGTGTGGTGGGCCAGTGAAGAGCTCATTTATGAAACAAAAGTGACTGCTGGGTTTTCTATAATGAGGTAGTACTTATCTTAGTAGCTGTGATAAGTGTGCCAAGACAAGTTACATAATGCAAATTTTAGTATCTAAAACTATAACAATACCTATAAACATGGATATAGATGGCTTACCTGGAGGCATTAATGCTGGTTCTGTGGGAAGCACTGGTATGCCTAGGAAGAAACAAATATGTTCTTCCTTAATCTGTATTTGCTTATAATGAGACCCACATAATTCACAAAGGGCCCTTTAGCTTTAAGGAAGATATTTTGGAAAGAAAATGGAAAATGTTTTGGGAGAGAAAACAGGAGAGATGCTAGAGGGAAAATTTACACTATTTAGAAAGTAATTAACAACAACAACAAAAAAAAAACACTATGGAAAGGATATTAAAGAACAATCTATGAACTGTCTGTCTAAAATTTGTTTATATCACTTGCTTCATAGAAAAAAAAATCGGCATGCTTCAGTTTCAGGATAAATTAAACAACGATCATACTTACAGTCTCCTGGATAAACACATTTGAGGGTGACCTCATCAAGAATCATATTCCTAGGGCAGTAGGGCAAACATCCTTCGATTCTTTACATAAGGAAAAAAAAAAGTGAAAAAAGTTTAATACAAAATAAGCACATTTGTCATAAACTAAAATATATTCTTCCTAAGGTTCTTCTAGTCCCTTGTCAAGCACTAAAAAAATGCTCCATTTGCTACTACCCTATTACACTTCCTTCTATGAAATCAAAATCTAGTAGATGATAAAAGAATATCATTATGATTAAATCAGAATTTAAGCACAACAAAATACACACTTATGTCTGGGGCACACTACAGCCATTATAAATGAGTAGAAATTCAGAAGAATCATTTATTGAGATTTTAATCTGTATTTGTTGTATGGTTACTTTCCTTGCCTATTACACTTCCCTACATCCAAGCAGATTGACATATTCTCTGATTATCCTTGCCTTACGGATGTTTAGAGAACAGAATCAGCAGCTTCAGGGGTTCTCCCTGCCTATTATTAAATCCTAAACTCATTGAAAGGATATTAGAAAAGATTAGAAAAAGATTTTTCTGTGTTGGAAGGATGGAGGTAAGACATGATTTCAACTTTTTGAGAACAGAGAGTAATGGACAAAGGCTACAATTGTTTTTAGAGAGATTTTTTGCAAAAGGGTGCATGCGCTCAGAGAGAGAGACAGAGACAAAGAGACAGAAAACAAGATGGCCACGCCACAATCCCTTCTCCTCCATTCTCCTCTCAGGATCTTGGGTACTCACTCACACATGTCTGGTGTGAGTTTAAGCTGCCGGGTGTGGGACTCAAACTGTAGTTGGCTCTGTAGGAGTCTAGTGATGTATCCATTATGCCATCTGCTAGCCCCTGAGGCTGTAATTGTTTAAATAGTGGTAGTACCTGTGCCCAAATTTGTGGCCCTGCTCTGGGAGAAGGTGGCTACAGATGAACCCAGGAAGTCCAGGTCTTAAGCCCCAGGATGTCTGGCCTTGGTAAAGATCCTGGTCCTTGAATGTAGCACAAAAGCCAAGCAATAGTCAGAGGCCATGGACTTAATCATTGCAGATCAAAACTAGAGGAAGTGCATAGAATAATTTTCTTCTAAAAGAATTAAGCCAAGAAAATAAACAAGACTACATTTTTCTCTTGTCCTAGTGGGGCTCAGAGTCCAATTTATTTTGATTCAAAGGAAATAATTGTAATCCTTTATGTACAACCAAGTCTAATTATTAGATTCACAGATAGTATGAAGAATTAATGCAAAAAAAAGAATTAATGCAAATATTAAAGGGCTTGCTTATCTGCCTCTCAAATACTTTAGCAGGTGTGATAATATTTTTAATTTTTAGAAAGTATTTCCAATTGCATTATATATAAAGTAAAGAATTTGAAACAAAAATGTTCAAGGCCACTTTCCATTCAGAAATGAACTAACTTGACACTGGAAGTATATGCTACCATCAGAGGGCACTCGTTCATGGAAACAAATCAAGGCAACACCTAAAAAGATAAGAAAAGTTCATTCCCTCTTAACATCAGTCACACATAACCATCTCCTAGATAACTCCTTTACAAATGATGTTTTAGCATAAACAGTGTAGCTTATTTGATCAATTGTTTATTTCATAAAATGAACTTTAGTAAAACTTTGACAGGTACGTACCAAGACTTTTGTACTCTAAACTTTGTCAGACAGAAGGAAAAAAACCTGAAGTTACGAGATTACTGCAATACTACAGCCAGTTATTACTCAATTAAGTTAACATCAAATTTTCTGCAACTCAGTTATTTTGTAATGGTTTTATGCAAGTCAAAAACCACAATCATCTTTTTAAAATATTTCTAAACACCATTAACTCTTTCCTTCATGGTCACACATAGCATGTTCCTCCTTATTTTGAGATATAACTGGTGATCTACTTGATTTTTAACTGATAAATATGATGGCTCAGATGCAGAAAAGCTCTTATAAGAGATATATAAGTTTTTTCTATGTGCACTATAGTATACTACTGACATCTTTCCTCATGAAAGTCCTCATTTTCAGTAGACATTTTAACACTTTTGTGGTGTATCAGAAACTGCAATAATCTTGAAAAAGGGTGGTGGTTCTGTTGGAAACTTGGAGGAGGCCACCCAGGAAGATGCTAAAACCCCAGCTGTTTTTGCTTATCTTCTAAAGGCTCAAGTATGAGGAAGAGCAATTTTTAGGTGCCTTGGCAAGGGGAAATAGAAAAGAGAGAACAATGAAGGTAGAGGTGAGGAACAGCTTGACAGGAGTGGTTTCATCCTGAGTCTCTTTCTGCAAAACAACCATATAGAAAGAGAAACATGGGAAGACAGCCACAGTCCAATAAACCGTAAGCATGGAAGATCTCTGTTCAACTCTAAGACTGGTTATGCCACAGGAAGTAATAAACTAGCAAAATGGTCCCTTGAATACAGCTCAATCTCCTCCACAGCGCCAGAGCCAGCTATGCCCTCGGCTATGGTCTTTCATTCCCACATACCCTGCTCATGCTTATCCTCACCATGGAACCACTATGGCATCCTCTCCTCTAACAAAGAGGCAGGAAATAGATTGGTGAACGTGAGTGGTTTGAGTGAATGGTCATGACTTCTTTTCAAAAAACAACAACAAAGAAAAGTCAGTTGCCTTTATTTTTAAGGAAATAAACACTTTCTCTCCACATCCAGTTTATAACACTCTGTTCATATTATACTGTAGAAACTCAAATGTGCTACTTCTTGTTCCTATAGACTTCTTTCCAGTGTATTTCATTATCTGCTTTTGATTCTGTCTTCTTCCTCAAGATTATGAGGTCTATGGGTGAGGGATTGTCTTATTTATTCATATGCCTGGATTTTTAGTAGTTCCAGTGTTAGCCATAGAGTAGAAGCTTGTAAGTCTTTAGTATAAAAGGATTCTTTAAAAAAATATTCCTTCCTGGGACCAGCAGATGGTATAATGGTTAAGATACTGGACTCCCACATAGTCAACCATGGTTTGAGTTCTGTACTGAAGCTTGAAACTCATGCCAGGCACATGTGTGTGCATGCCCAAACTCCAAGAGGGGAATGGAGGAGAAAGGATTACAGCATAACCCTCCCCACTGAGGGGTGATTTCTCACCTTCTACCTCTGATTCTCCTTGTCTTTCTGTTTCACCATGTCTCTCCAGAGAGCAAGCACATGCACCCTATAGCAATCCAGAGAGATTTTGCACCCTATAGGAAATCTCTCTTTAATAAGTGTATATATGTATACACACACATATGTATTTTTTTCTATTCATTCATTCCTACTGTGGGTCCCTATCTCTGTTCTATTTTTTCCAACTCCTTTGAGAAAAAAAAAATGCCCTTTATACTCTCCATCTCCTTTTATCTTTTCCTATTCTCCAGGTTGATAAATCCAATGAACAATTTTCAGCCTTAAAACCAAATTCCTCAAAACCAAATCCTTACATTTCTATTTCTTCCTACCCTCTCTTCCTAATATCTTCCTTATCCTAGTATATGTCAACTCAGTCCTTCGACTAAACCAAATTATTTGAAGTTGCTGATATTTGACTAATTTTTGACTACAAAATGGCAACTTCATATGGTCTTACCCACTAATTGTTGAGGCCAAAATTTGAGTCCTGGACTCCTCTTTCATAATTTATACTAAATCCATTAGTATACCTATGGCCCTCTGTTAACAATATATCCAAATCTGCTCAAAACCTGCAGACTCACCAACTTAGTCAACTAGTCAAATCCCTTCATCTCCCTTGTAGATTACTAATTCTTCTCTTGTCCATTCTCTTTTTTTGGGGGGAGGGGGAGAGATTTTCACTGTAGGGCGCGTGCGCTCACCAGACAGACAGAGAGAGACATAGAGACAGAAAGCGAGAAATCACCCCCCAGGGGGGATGGTCACGCCGCAATCCCTTCTCCTCCATTCTCCTCTCGGGATCTTGGGCACGCACGCACACGCGCCCGGCGTGAGTTTTAAGCCACCGGGTCCAGGACCCGAACTGCGGTCGACTACGTGGGAGTCCATCGACATAGCCATTACGCTAACTGCTGGTTCCCTCTTGTCCATTCTCAATGCAGCAGCCAAAGTAAACTTTTCAAAACATAAATCAGAGGCACAGTGGTTAAGGTGCTGGACTCCCACAAAGCAAGCATGGCTCAAGTTCCAGACCCAGCAGCTTGAAAATCATGTCGGGAGCATTTGTGTGTATGTCCAAAATCTCAAGAGGAAAATGAAGAAGGGAACAGCATTTCTGTCTCTTCTGGGGAGTGATTTCTCATTTTCCCTCTTACTGTCTATCCCTGTATCTCTCCACTGTACACAGGCACCCTATAGGAAAAACATTCAAAATAAAATAATAAAATAAAATAATAATAAATTAAAACATGTCAACCCTCTACCCAAAATATACTAGGGCTCACTGTCTTACTCAGAGTAAAAGACTAAGTCCTTATAACAGGCTATGAGGCCTTATAAGATTAGCTCATGTCTATGACTCTCTGGTCTCCTCTCCAACATCTTTCAATTATGTTCATAGCTCGCTGAACCTAATGCACCAAACACATTCCCTCCCCAAGACCTTTGCACTGTTACCAGACTGAAACACTGTTCCCTAGATATCCCATTGACAATTCTGGAACTTCCTTCAGATCTCTGATCAGATGTCTACTTGCCAGTGTTTTTCCAAGGCCACCAATGTTAATTAGCAAACACGCAATACATCCTTTATACTTTCTGCCTCCCTTATTTTCCTTTATTTTCACCATAACATGTCATCATGTGTTGCATTATATATTTATTTATTTATTTTCTGCTTCCACCCAACAATATGTGAGCTCCAAGAGGACAGGTACTTTGGGTATTATTTTCAGTAATATTTCCCAAGCAGCAAGAATTCCTAGTATATAGTAAACCTTTAACTATTTCTGGATTAAACTAAAATGAATTCACGAGTGAGTAAATGGTATATACATTTGTTTTTTCTTGAGTATGGCTATTTTCAAACCAAAAAAATTCCTGAGGACCGAATCTGCCTATACTAGACATTGCTCATTTATTGGAAAACATTACTTACGGTGGAAGAAATTTGCATGCTAGTGCTTCAGGGTCACTACATGTTTTAAAACAAGGAGTGGTACAAGGTTCGTATCTCCATTCACACATCCTCCTGTAAGGCACAGCTGCCTGGATTTCTGGGAACAAATAAGGTTTAGATTGGACCTTTTTCTTTTCTTTATTCATGATAGGGTACATGCATACACATAACAGAGAGAAAAAGAGAGAGAGAGAGAAAGAGAGAGAATAAAAGCACTCTCCATAGCATATAGTCTCACTGTGATCCTCTTCAGTCCTCCAGCCACCAGCTCTTGAGTACTGACATGTGTGCCCAGCGTATTTTGTGTTGACAGGGCCTACAGTTAGAACCAAGCCGCCATTTTGGATCTAAGATCTCTTGAGCAGCACATTACCCCTGCACCACAGAGTCAGTCCATGCATGTACGTTTAATTGCCAGAGGGCATGCGTGCTTGTCAGAGAGAGATAAAAAGGGTTGGAGGAAGTATCCCCCAGTAGCACTTGGTCATGCCACAATCCCTTTTCCTCATTACTCCATCCTATTGGGATTTGGGGTAAATGTACACATGTCTAGAATGTTTTTCAAGCCACCAGGGCAGGATTAGAAACATAGTTGGCTATATGGGATCCAGTCCCATTAACCACCAGGCTACATGGTCAGCATGTGTGTGTGTGTATGCATGCTAGAGGACATGTGTACTCATTAAACAGATACAGAGAAAGGAAGAAGTAAGCTGATAAAATGCCACCCATGAGAGATGGTAGTACCAAAATCCCATTTCCTGTATTTCTCCTTTCAGAATTTTGGGCACCCAGGTACATGCACTCAGTATGTCTTTCAAGCTGCTGGGTCCTGGACTTGAACCGCAAGAGTAACCATACGGTATCCAGCTACCTTAACCATCACACTACCAGATGATCCCATGTATACATTTTTAATGCACAACTTGAAAACTAATGATTTATCCTATGAACACATCTTGGGTTTGACTATAATTCTGTAAAAAAGACAGACCTAAGGAGTAAAAAACAAAAATGCTTTGGTTATCAAAGCATTTTATGCTTGGATTAAATAAAAAATGTTAAATCTATCTTAAAAAATTTTTAAATAAAGGGGTTAGAGGAGGCTGAAGAAAACTTTCAATCTTCCTTTCTCTTAGTAAATTTTTATTGAACTTCATAGCATAATACAAGATATTTGCTTGAGATTTTATTCTATTTAATCCTCTCAACAGTCCTGTTGAATAGGTCTAAACTTCTCATTTATAAATGTGGCAAGTGAGGCTCACAGTAGCCAAGTGACTTGTCTAGTTCAATCAATTAGGACAATGATAAACCAAACATGTTTCAAGACCTCATCATAGGGAGAATATTCCACTGTTGTTCTTTTCACAGAACTTAGTATACTGCCTTGTACATGATAAGTACAGATTGAATAATAATAATAATAGAATGGATCTGAATAACACATGCTTACAGTTAAAAAACCTTCCTTTGTTGAAGATTTTTCTCCTGAAAACTGTTAATATTCCTTCCTTCTCAAATCGTAAAGAAATCCTTCTATGTCAGTTAAGCTATCTCTGAATAAGATAAATCTATAAGGGAGAAAATTTAGTAAATAAGTATGTTTCTTGGACTCTGCATACAGAATTCAATTCTGAAGTATGTCAAGGAAAATAAGACTTTTTGGAAAGTAATGATGCATCCAAATATTGAAGCAACTCCTCAAACTTGACTTATCAGGGTACAGGAACCTGAGAGAAGATTGATTCCAAGCCCAGAGTAGACCCCCTAGAGTTTCATAGGTTTAAGGAAGCTCATTAACACTTGTTTCCAGGCCAGCTGGTGGCATGGTGGTTAAGGTGGCTGGATCCCAGGTGAATAACTCTGCTGTTTCAGCCCTGGATCTCATGACAAATGCTGGACACGTATGCATGCATGCCCAAAATCCCAGAAGAAGGAAGAAATGGAGAAGGGATTGCAGCATGGCCATGCCTCAGAGGGAGTGCTCTTTCACTTTCTCTTTCTCTCTTTCTATCTCCGGTGAGCACATGCACTCTCTAGCAATAAAAAATAAATAAATTTGAAAAAATCAGTTTCTCAGTTTTGATTATGACATTTGGCTGCAGTTCTCAGAACTTCAGCTGGTAATGCTAGATCTGGTTCTCACAGAGCAGGTTTCTAGAATAGAGGGGAAAGAGAGGTTTGTAAAGCTTAATAAAAAAACATCACATACACTCTACAGTATGTTGTATAGGCATGTCAGTGACTCTTTCTCAAGGGCACAGTTCAGGATGCAAGGTTCCCAGTGACTTTGACTCAGCTGTTCACCTCCCACTTTTCTGAAAATTGGTTATCCTCAGATAAGGAAGGACTGTCTGGAACAATCCTGGTTCTGTCCTCATCCCTCATAGAATAAGATGCCCTTCCAAGTTTGTACACACAGAAAAAGTGTTGCCTGTGGCACAAAATTCCAGAGCAGGGTGTTCTCAAGGTCCTCGGAGCTGCAGTACAATATAGGACATACACAAATGAGATTCCTTTTATCCTGAGAAACCGTTCTGAGCTTTGGGGACTGGCTCACCAAGAATCCTAGGCTTTTATTGATATTTGCTGTCCATCTGTGAGTAATAAAGTTGCTTTGCTTATCTTATGTGACTGTTCTGCCTCAACAAACTAGGCCTAAAGATACAAGTGAAAGAGATATTGGGGGCTCTTTTATTCTATTTTAAGCTATTTTCCAGAGCCAGAACTCTTATAGAACTCTGGTGGCTGAGCTTGTGCAGAATATCCTAGCAGATTTAAGAACCTTTGCACATGGGAACTCTATTCAATAGGCAAAAAATTATTCAGTTTGCACAAGTGAATTCACAACAGAAAAGACAAATGATTAGCTTTCTTAAACTGCTTTAGAAGTGTTGGTTAGGATGAAACAATAAGTTTGGGAAACTCAAGGTACATCTCAAGCTCCTAGATTGTGAACATAAAGCAAGACTTTCAAACATTGCATAAAGAAGTGAAAACTGCCCTCTGAAACTCAGAAAATTCAATAGCTTTAGACCTTTAAGGTGCTTCAGAAATAAGATCGGGCATCTACTGAACTAGAGAAATCTGGAGGTCTATGGAACCAGATACCTTTGTAGTCAAAGGACAGAGATAAATATGTTCTCTTTATCATTAAGAATCAGATTAGTCAGAAGTTACCTTCTACAGAGGAAAAACTAGATACAATCCCTAGACACTCATGCAACATACGTGGACACTAAAACCAAAGTCCAGACAGCACTGGTAGTAACAATTAGGGTAATATTCATAAATAATAATACTTACAGTTATTACTAATCAATTTACACTAACTTATTTACTTATTTAATACAACAATCCTATGACATAGGTCACAAATGTTATTTTTCCCATTTTATAGCAAACTGAGGAATACAGAGGTGAAGAAACTTAGGTCATAAAACTCTACCTGTTGTACTTAAATGCAGAATGATTTCAAAATTAAAAACATATATACTCTGTATATTATAAATTATTTACTTTTTCTCATTTTGAAGACTACAAGAAACATACCTTCTATGCTGAAGCTACTCGAATGTTTAAATTCTTCAGAATCATCATATTTTGATACTTTAACACCAGAATCTGTGAATGTGATGAAAAAGCCTTTCTTGCTATATAATTCAAATGCACTGTAACCAGGAATCCAGAGGCCCTGATGATGGAAAAATGTTGCTCTCCGATGAAAAGCTGAATTTGCCTCCCACAGCTCCAAACTAAGAGTGTCATTGTCGTGGACACAGAGAAAGTAATTTGGCCTTTCGGCAGATTCCAAGGAAACAAGTGCCAAAGCTGGAAAACACAGAACGGTGTGTATGACAGCTCTCTGGATTTTCAGGAGAAGGCAGGTCCTAAACACCAGCATTCTTCAATTACAACATTGAAAAATAGTACTGCATCATCTTCATACATAGCTAAAATCAATCTCAAAGATTTTATAAATGACTTACAGATATCTAAGAGAAAAAGTAGTACTCTAAATGCAGTGAATAACAAAACATATGAATTTGGGGACTTATTTTTTAAGTAATTTATTATGCGCCTTGGAGAGAAAACAAAAATATTGCTTTGTTGGGAAAGTCATGACATATTTTTGCACGGAAAAACAGAAAAATACTTCATGACTTTCCCAATGACCTCATATCACCAGGGACTCCATAAAGTACAATTTCATCTAAGTAATTGAATGATTAATTGAACATTTATTTGTATTTGCAAGTTTCATTATTTTCTAATGCACAAAATCTAAATTGAATGATAGAAAAGTGGGAGAGAATATAGAAATAGATCAATTTTGGCACGTAAATTCATTTCAGTATCTTAATGAGCAAATGTTCTTGCAAGAGATTTTACTTCAAGAAAAACTATCGTCTCAATATTATTATCTATTCCCCCTAAATGATTAAATGGCTAATAAGCAACTAGGCTTTACAAAGCATTTGAGAAATACTTTTATGTGCTTTGAAATTTTCCCCTATATATGTATAACTCATGATATAGCTTTTTCATTGATATTAAGTTGATTTTATTAAATAAATGTCATTCATATTTTTATTAAAAATATTGGTTATTATAAATCATAAAATAAAGAACTTTCTCAAATTCAATATCATTTCAAATGCATTTCTTGTGTCCTAGAAACCAGCAACTCCTTTTGCTGAGCACTGCAAGATGCACAGAAGGATAAAAGAAACTTTCCTATGAGAAGAAGACATGTACTCATCATAAATTAGAACTGAAGACTGTGATAGGTGTTTTCAGAACTGAGGGAGTTCTTCTTACAGTAAAGAAAATTTATTGTAACTAGTCAACCAAGAGATTTCTCAGAATAAATGAAAGTTAAGTTGGACTACTCATTTAATAAATATTTTTGGAAGCTTATACAGCATTTGATGCAAGGTTCTAGATAAACTACCTAATAACAATGTAGCCTGAGCATCTTGCTTAATCAAAAAGAGACACTACCACAGTCAGAACAGGTACAAGGTATATACAACCAGCATAGACCTGCAGATGCAAACCAGTAAATGCAGGACCAAATTCTAGGCACTGAGGGCTTACGAGTGAACCAGGACAGACAAGGCATGTTATGAAGAATTGGCTGCCTCAATAACCACGTACTCTCTGCTTTGTACTTGTAATATCTAACTAAATTAATATCAAATCATTTTGTTTTATGTTACCTAGCATTAAAATATTGTAAATATGAAGTAACAGTGGATTGCTGTTCAAAAATTTGGAATAAATTTCCATCATTAATACTATGCAGGTTTAATCTGTGTTATTTAACACCAAAAACTCAATCACAGAATTGAAATTCTAACAAAATATATACGCCAAAAGGTAAACGAAGAAATTATTTTCCATACTAAAGAGTAACTGGTTCATGTGCCAATATCACATTCTATTTTATATTCATATGGCACATTGGAAAAAATGCCATAAGCATATTAGATCTCCAGTTAATATTTACTGAACGAATAAATTAAAAATATAAATGCACAGCTAATTTCTTATCTTTAATTATACTTACATGATGTCTTCTCTTTGAAAAGGCCTGGAGTGATCATAAAATTAAAAAATAAATTGCCATTAATACTACTTCTTGGCAAAGAGAAAATGCTTCTACTGGTCATATTGGCTCCAAGAACAAGGCCACTCTGCCCGTAACTTGCCAGCATATATGGTCCTTCTCCAAGTCCTAGTTAAATATAAATAAAAGAATTATAAATTGGCATAGTATTTTTACATTTTAATTTGTCACTTCAATTAAATAAATTATAATTAAAAAGCCTTTAACAGACACAGGGATGAATGTAGATAGGAGAAAGGGGTTATGGAACGACGTATCACAGCAGAATAAAAAAAAAAAAAGAAATGGAACACTGCCAACCTAATATCTCTCTCAGAAAAAAAGCAAAAAAACTAAAAACTTGACCAATTAAAAATTAATCACTAACAAAGAGTAAACATCAGGGATTGCTGCATTTGTAAATGAAGTTAGATTAGAGGACCAGAAAAAGGAGAAAATAAGACATCTAAGGATGGAAAGCAACAATTAAAGAAACTTACTGAATTAAAACAATCTCTGGAATAGAATCTGGATCAAGAAATAAAGAAAAATGGTGAATTAGAGAAAGAGATAACTGGATTTAAGAAACTCTTGGAAATGACAAGTTAAATGAATGTGAAAATGGAGAACTCAGTTTCCAAGGAAACTTAAAACCCAGTTGACTTTTTTTTCAGAGAGGTTTTCTTTGGTACAGGGTGCATGCGCTCGCCAGAAAGAGAGAGACAGAGAGATAGAAAGTGAGAACTCACCCCCCAGAGAGGATGGCTACACCATAATCCCTTCTCCTCCATTCTCCTCTCAGGATCCTGGGCATGCACGCACACGCACCCGGAGTGAGTTTAAGCCACCAGGTCCGGGACGCGAACTGCGGTCGACTACATGGGAATTCGGCAACATAGCCATTACACTACCTGCTGGTCCCCCCAGTTGACTTTAAATAGATATTCAATTTAATATTCTAAAATATAAGACTGACAATCTTACAGCAAAACTTCAGAAGGACTCATCATCTTTCAAAACAATACAGAAAGACAGTGTAAAACTGAAGGAGAGAGAACTGAAGTTGGAACAAGAAGTAATAAACCTCCAAAGTCATATGGAAATAAATATGGTAGAACATGTTCAAGTAGAACAGTATAAATGGGTGACTGAAAGAAGAGCAAGACAGGATATAGTAAAAAAATTACAAGAAGCACAAGCAGTATCTCAAGAAAACTTAGAGCAGTTAAGAAAGAATAATTATGCTTCAGTAATAAGACAGATGGAACTTGTGATGAAAGATCTAGAATCCAAACTCTTCAAAATAAGAGTTTCTCAAAAAGATTCTGATAAAATAGAATTTTAAAAATATAAGCAGCTCTATCTAGAAGAATCACAATTTAGAACATCATTATCAGAGGGACCAGCAGATGGCATAATAGTTACATCACCAGACTCTCACATAGTGAACTGCGGTTCAAGTCCTCAACTCTGAGGCTTAAAACTCACAGTGGGCATGTATACATGTGTGCCCAAAATCCCAAGAGGATAATGGAGGACAAGGGATTGCATTGTGGCAATCACCCCCGGGAGTGTTTTCTCACTTTCTGTCTCTCTTTCTGGCACGTACACATGCCTTATAGCAAAACTCTCTCTAAAAGAAAAAAGAAAATCATCAGATAAAAGAAACAAGACTAATGAGAAGTTAGGAGCAGTCAGTCCAAACTTCTTGTGGAGAAACAGCAGAATAGTTCTTTACTCAAGTTTTACTACGAGACCATTCCTAGTCACCTCATGTCAGAAATCCTAATAATAGTTTAATGCACAACAGAAATCTTATTTTAAGAGAAACTTCAGTGCTTTCTACCTCAATCTCATAGCCTCCAAATAACAGAGAACTGTTTGTTCCAAACACAGCATACATTGGAAGAAGTATAACTAGAGAACTAAGAGAAGTTACTCTTGAAACTGCATCTGCATCCTGTAGAACCTAGCCTTGAAGATCTACTGATGAGTCAAACTGAACTCAAGATCTGCTTTTGAGAGCTTCATAAGAATATGTACAGGTCTTGTACAGGTCTTGAAGAAAAATTACATGTCTGACAGATAAAATTTTACCAACTGAACTGTTTTCATAACTTTTTAATTATTTCATTATTAATTTTTACATGATATGTAAAAATCTTTATTAAAGACTTTTTTATCATAAAAAGTAATCATTAACAAAATAATTATAGAAAATGTAATAATTTGGAATATACATAAACATATCTATAATTGGTCAAGTGAAAATACACATGAATATGTATACCTGTATGAGTAAACATGTGCATGTATATATGTATATTAACATAAAAGTACATGTAAAGCAGAGATGGATAGAAGGCTGACTTAAACTTCTGGGTCTCAGCATTTCTCAGTTGTATGAAGTTGTACACCTAAGTAACCTTTCAGTTACAACATTCTAATCTATCCTCAATAGACAGAAGATTTTTAGTTGTACCAATGGCCAAATGTTACAATGATCTAAAAATCACCTTCCATGTTGAAAAAATTAATAGAAATGATATGCAGTATTTCACTGTCTGGAGATTACTGAATTTTGCCAATGAGATACTTATGTTTATAAAAAAAGAAAAATGGTGGAAGCTGAACAGAGAAGTCAAAGACCTTTTTATTTATGCTATGATTTCCCATGCACTTAAATGATATGTATAAAGTAGAAACTGTTTACTATGGTTAAAACAAACATAAAACAGTCTAGAGCCAAACTTGAAACTCAGAGAATCTTGCAAACTTAATCTTAGCAAGATATGCAATCCAATCTCTCTGCTATTTAATGTTCATATATAACTGAAACACTATAAAATTTTTACTTTTCTTCTGAATCATCAAAATTAAGTTACTAATTATGAGCTGTGTACTTTTTGTAGGAATATACATGTTTTTGCCTGGTAGGTAATGTAAAATGCTGATATATGTGTGGTAAGTCACAGCATAAAAGATTAATCTTGCTGTTCTCAGTGAATTTCACTTTTCCACTTCTCTCAATTTTATCTCTAGGGCAATGTAACTTTCTCAGTTCACCTTGAAGATATTAACAATATAAGGAGAAGGTTTTTTTCTCAAAGGCCAAGTCTAAAGAAAGGCAAAAGGATGGTGGATTCGAGGGTTAAGAAGTCTTCCAAATACACATACGCACAGCCAAAAAGCACATGAGGAAATGCTCAACATCCCTCATCATAAGGGAGATGTAGATAAAAACCGCAATGAGATACCACCTAACCCCCGTCAGAATGGCAAAGATTAAGAATATAAAAAGTGATAAATGTTGGCAGGGATGTCAAGAAAAGGGAACCCTCCTACACTGTTGGTGGGAATGTAAACTAGTTCAGCCACTGTGGAGAACAATATGGAGGTTCCTCAAAGATCTACAAATAGAACTACCATTTGATCCAGCAATCCCACTTCTGGGTATTTACCCAAAAGACAGGAGAATGCTCAGTCAGAAAAAGTGCTTGCACATCAATGTTTATTGCAGCATTATTCACAATTGCCAAGACATGGAACCAACCTAAATGTCCACAAACTGATGAATGGATTGGAAAAGTGTGGTATATATACTCTATGGAATACTACTCAACAATAAAAAATAACAAGACCCTGGCATTTGATAAAAAGTGGTCAGATATGGAGGATCTATTGCTGAGTGAAGTAAGCCAGGCTATGAAAGAAAGATATTGTATGTTTATTACCTGTTGATGGTGACATGTATAGTATTCTCAACTGGATTGGTCTGAGAAGTACTTCATGATGGGCAAAGTCTTTTTACAAGCAAAATGAGAAATAGTGATTGACTGTTTTAAAAAAATAATTAGAATAATAATAATAATAATGATTGGGGAAAACATAGAAAAGATATTGAATGTTGAAGCAGGGAGATTAATGTCTCTGTATTGACTGACATGCATGGCATTCCCTTTTGAAAAAGCAATGTAATACACTGTAAAGTTATATGTAATCCAAAGTAATATAAAGAAGACTATGATGATAATAAAAAATAATAAGAAAAAAGAAAAAAGAAGTCTTCCAAATACAAAGAAGAATGAGAACCAAAATTTCCATCATGACCACTGGGATAAGAGAAATCAGAAGCTAAGTTTTCTTTGAGTGTATTCCCCTCCAGTGACTCATCATCTAGAACATGTCACCACTGAATAGCTATCATGAGGAAAAGAGCTTCACTAGGGACTCATATAACTTCAAATACATTGGGGAGTTGAAATAATTGTCCCACACGAAGGTAGAGCTGAGCAGCACAGTGGACAATTTTTCTATGAGCCTGACAGCAATGGGCCCACCGCCACTGTAATAAATGTATACTATGCACAGTGTTTCTCCATAAGCCAAAACACATAGCAAGCAAAGAAATTAATCATCTCCACCACCCAATTTAGTATAAAAAACAAAAGGAGAGTGACATTAACTTTCAAGACACAAATATACTTCAATTAATAAATGTATATATTTGCATAAATATGCAAATAATATATAAATGAATAGAGATATTTATAATGAGATAAAATCAAAAGTGGAGAAGACACACATAAAAGAACAACTTGAAGACTTGAAGCATCTTCGTGGATACTCAATCAAAGAGTGTGAAAGGAGATAAAACCTAAACAGAATCTCTTGCCTACTACACATGGCCCTTCCTACAGCAACCTGAAGAGACAACTGTCATTGAGAAATCCATTGTATAAAACAAACCTAAAACTGCTGGATTGATTTTTAATTAATTTCAGTTAATTGATATCTTGCTTCTAGACTATGTTCATACATTTTTGCCAGAAATTGAGGGACAGAAGTCATTGACCTTATCACTAATTTTCTGCAAGTTTATTTTTGCGATCTACTAAAAGCAATCATTTCCTGCAGTCTTTCTTTAAACACAAGTATACACTATCTAACAAAATCACTCTTACCTTAAAACTTAGATGACAATTTTTAACACAATACCTACAACATTAACAATTTCTCCACATTTTTAGTAAGTGCCACAGAAATGAACTTAAAAGATGATTTAATCTTTGTGCTAAAGATTAAATAATCTCAGCCGTAACCTCTGAGTTCTCCCACTATTGTTTATTTTCTTCCTACAGAATCAGTTATTTCTTTTTAACACATAAGCATCTTAATAACATAGTATCTGGCACACAGTGAATGAAGAAAGGGAGAATATATCAGCTATAAATGTCCAGAGAAGGCTAGATGAATGTACAATAGCCATGGAAGTATTTTGGATGAGACAAATTAGCAATAATCATTTAAACCCATTTTCTTTTTATTATTATTATTAACCATCTCCATCATTCTGTATCCCCCTTCAATCATCTATCTCCATTGCATTATTCTTATGAACTCAATCCCTTCAGCACATTGATGCTTTTTCCTATTACGTGATCATAGGAAATATATATATCCCCCTGTAACTCCGCTGAGCCTATCAGTGTCCTATGAAGGCTAGATGACCCACGTTCACTCTTTGATATTTTCAATATGGTATTATCAGTAAAACTAGAAGAACTGGTTTGAAGAAATCTCTAACACCTGAGAAAACAGAACCATCACTAGGAGCGCAGCAGACGTTAACAGGAAGCATAATGTATCAAGTCAGCACACAGAGAAAGTTCTGCTCTGGTTCTCAGGGTCTGCAGACAGAATGCCAGTAAGTACGAAAGCACAGACGGAGATTTTCACAGCAGAACCGTGTGTCACCGGCGTGTGTAAGTAAGGAAGTTATTGGAGCATCTTCTCAAAATGATGTGTTTGTACATAGGTAGAGCATGTGATAACAATGTGTGCTGATTGTCTCTGTACTAGGATGTGACAACCATACATAGGCCATGCAGCACAAAGGTCAAGACTTTTGCCTCTGAAAGTGAACTGTTTACAAATCCTAATTTACTGTATTTTGGCTAAGTGACTTAGACAAAGTTATTTAACCTTTCTGTGCTTCAGTTTCCTCCTTTGTAAAGTATTGGTAATAATTTTTTTGAAAAAAAATATATTTTGAAATTAAAATTATTTTTTTAAATAATTATTTTATTTAACTTTATTTACTTATTTTATTTGACCAGAGAGAGACATGGCAAGAGTCAGGGAGAGAGAGAGAGAGAGAGCAAGCCACCAGATCCTGGCCTTGAACCACGGTCCAGCACCCTTAACCACCACACCACCTGCCAGCCTCAAAATTTAAATTATTTAATATGAAGTAGCTGACACAACAAAAGCTTTAGTTATTATTGCTGTTATTATTATTATTAATCAATTGTATTTTAATCATTGAAACCAAAAGATTGATGTACAATATCTGTGTGTGCACATGTTTCTGTGAGTGTGTAGCTGTGTATTTAAAATATTGGACACAAAATAATTTGGGTTGGATTTTCCTTACCAGTTTATTTAATGTTGGAGTTTCCTCTTCTATCAAACTTCCACAGATGAAACAAAAATAACCAAAGTTGCCCATTTTGTTTTTAACTTATTATCTCTATTATTCCAAAATTACTTAGCCTACTTTGGACAGTCATAGCTGTTATATTTCTCCCTAGCTCCCTATAACCCACAGTGCCTTCAATTGGTTGGTTGGCCCAGCCTTTCTATAACTATTACTCTAACTTACCCACCCACCATAGACCCAGGGGACCTAGACTTCCTGTAAGTATTACTCTGACTTACCCACCCACCATGGGTCCAGAGTCCCTAGATCATCTTATTTGTCTAAATTAGGTGCTGGTGACTATGCCTCCTTATTAATAGACCTCACAAAAATCAAACTTTTAATCTTCTATATTCTGGGCATTTTCAGAAGATACAATTCTCTGCCTCTTCTGACATCTACACTTTAGTCTCTAGTATCTCCTCTCACTACATACCTGAACACTTGATAAGGCTAGGAAATTTTCCTTTTTTTAAAGAATTGTTTAATTTTATTTATTCATTATTATTATTTAATTTGCTATAGGACATGTGTACTCACCAGAGAGAGACACACACAGAGAGAGAGAAGGTGGAAAAGCAAGTTGCCACGTCCAGGACTCAAACCACAGTGGGACATGTGGGAGTCCAGCACCTTAACCACTATGCCACCTGCTGGTCCCAAGATTTTCATTATTATTAGATCATCAGTACATTCTCTTCCAGTAATATGTAAATAATTATTTTGCCTATAGTAATAGCAAAATAAATTCTTCACACTGTATTATCACATTTGTATTTGTTTCTCTGATTTCTACAATATAACAAAAATCTGACTATAATCAGTAGGCTCTTCAATAGATCACCAGAACTTAGTCCTCCTATTTAACTGATACTTCATACTCTTTGACCAACATGTCCCCTTTCCTTGTCCAAACTCTGACTCAACACCAGCCTCTGGTAACCACCATTTTACTCTTTACTTCTCGAGTTCAGCTATTCCAGAGTCCATATGGTTTGAATTAATGTGTTAAATGAATTCATGTTAAAAAATTCATATTCTGAAATTTGGCGAGTCACTGTAAGTATGTTAATTTGATTATGGTATTAAAATTTGGGACCTTTGGGATATGATTAGACATAAAGGTGGGACCGCCCCATAATTGAGTCCTAGTGGGTTTATAAAGAAAGGAAACAAGACAGAGAGAACCTCTGTTCTGCTTAAGCTCCTACCTTCCACCTCATTATCCAATAGTAGGAAGGCCCTTACCAGATGTGGCTCCTTGACTAGAACTCCAAAATCATGAGTTAAATAAACCTTTATGCTTTCCAATGACCCAGACTCAGGTACCTCTGCTGTTAGCAACAGAACAGACTAGAATCGCATATAAGTGAAATCAAAGGGTATTTGTTTCTCTGAGCCTGGCTTATTTCACTTAGCATAATGTCCTCTAGGTTAAACCATGTTGTCAAAAATGACAGAATTTCCTTTTTTTTTTAAAGTTGAATACCTAAAAGAGGACTTAACATGTTTTTACGACAAAGAAGTGATAAATGTTTGAAGTGATAGATATGCTAATTTGCCTGATGTCATCATATCACAGTGTGTCCACGTATTGAAATGCCACATATTCACCAGGTAAATATAAATAATTTTTTTTCAATTAAAAAGAAAACTAAATGAAAATTTTAAAAATGTGAACAAGGCGTTTTTAGAAAATAGTAATAGGTATGCATTTAGTATAGGACTTTTATACTTTTAACCTAAAGGAATAAACTGACTTCATTCATTCACACATTCATTCATGTCACTTAAAAACTATCAGGTCATGCATTTTCCATAGAAAAATATGTCATGACTTTTCCAATGACCCAATATTCACTGAAGAGTTCTTAAATACTGCAAACATAAGTTACACACACTTTTTTCTTCCAGGAAATACACTTTAACACAAATACTTAGAAACTTGGATAGCTTTTAGAAGTTAAAGTTTTTAGGAATTATACAACAATTTAAATTGTCCAAAAACTTTTCATTTAAAAATACATCTTATATAACACAATAGTGGTATTCTTTATTAAACTATCACATACCTTCATTGTAATATTCACAATCAAGTGCTAAAAGAAAAAAAAGAATAAATATTAAACTATATAAACTGACCACTTATCTGAGTGTTATATGAGTCTAAGATATGGCCATATATTAATCAGTTACCACATGAAAAGTCACAGAATTATATCATTATTCTGGAACTTTCTCTGAGTAAAGGAAATTCTTTAAGGTGATATGCTGTAATTAGTTAAGTTCCATGAGATTATTCTAAAGGTAGGAAAATGTATACACCAATTTATAAATGTCAACTGAATATGTTCAACTCAAACATTGTTCTTTAGATGACTTTCCATCTACTCAAATAAGTTTAGAATCAGATTTGAAAGTAATTTCAGATTATTAAAAATCACTTATTTTAATAATCTACAGAGTAAAATTTCACAGTCAGTAAAAGATTGGAATCATAAACGATTTTTCTGAATATGGTATATAAATCATTTATATTTCAAACATACCAAACACACCAAACACAGAACACTTACCGCAAATATTTTTTATAAATCGTTTTGATATATTAAAATGTATAATGTCAAAGGAATATAAGTTTAGTTGTCTTAAATTAGTTCTATTTTCCTGAGGTTCTCAGCATTATTAGTTCGATGATAAACAACAATTAATGTGATATCCACACAAGGTCCCTGCCTAGTGATGTACTCACAACAAACAGTAGATGTTCTCCAGTGAATGGATACTCCTTCCTGACAGCACTTGTATGCATATGCTGCTATACTAGTGCATAAGCATTCACAGTCCCCACCAAGATTACAGTTGCACGTGTCCTCATGGCAGTTCTTGGCAAAAGAAGTAACATCAATCTGAAAGTGAAGTGAAAGGTAGTTTACCTTCATTAAGTCCAGGTTATGTTAAAACTCAACTCTCTAAAAGAAAAATAACTGGTGTGTTTTCAAAATGTGATATTATCTGCTTAACACTGCCATCTAGAGAGTTCTCACGATCTCAAACCTCTATACTGCCCAAAAGAGAAAGGAGAACAAATATTATATCAAACAACTAGCAAAACAAGAATAACATTATAATAATTTAATAATGACATACTAAATATAATTTTGAGTGTACAATAAATATTTTTGGAAGTTCATTATTTCGTTATGAGCAGATTCACATGGCATTAACAGATGTTTTGCTTTCAACTGTACTTTTACACGATTTCTAGCTCCCTCTTAGACATCCTAGTGACTATAAAAAGCAATAGCAACCTTTTTAAAACCTCATATTAATTTACTTTATTCACAATGTGCTTGTTAAATAACTGACAAAATTTAATAATTACCATGCATTATAAAAGAAGTATGGTTTGGTGTCACTAATTTGTATGTTATTTTGTAGGCAAGTTCATGGATTGATTTGCTTTAAAATGGTAGCCAGAAGAACCAGTAGACTCTGTGGCTCCAGACCCAAGATTTGACATTTCTGATTAAGCAGGTTTTGTCCTTGGAAAAGTCTCATAAGGAACCCTTTTTATAAACAGGACAGGACACTAGACTACCTATAGTAGGTGACTCCTTTACACTTTTAAAAATTATTGAGATCCTTAAGGAGTTTTTTGTTTTTGTTTTTGTTTTTGTTTTTTGCTACAGAGTATGTGCACTCACCTGAGGGGTGGGGGGGGGAGAGAAAGAAGGGAGAGAGAGAGAGAGAGAGAGAGAAAGTGAGAAAGCAAGAAATCCCCCACACACACTCCGGGGGAATGGCCAAGCTGCAATCCCTTCTCCTCTCAGGATTTTGAGTATGAAGACACAGGCACCTGTTGTATTTTTCATGCCTCCAGGTTTGAGACTCGAACTGCACTGTCAGCTATGTGGGATCTAGTGCCTTAACCTTCAGGCTACCTGATAGCCCCCTCAAGAAGCTTTTCCTTATGGAATTAGACCTATTAATATTTGCTATGCTTGAAATAAAACTGAGACATTAAAAAAATATAAATTCATTACAAGTAACCATATTTTATTAAAAAATAATATTTACTAAAACAAACACATTATGAGAACAGTGACATTTTTGCAGATCTCTTTAATGTCTTTTTAATAGCACATAGCTAGATTTTCACGTCTACTTTTTGGTACAATTTGTTGCAATGTTTTTGTTTTGGTTGTTTTTGTTTGTTTGTTTTTGTTTTTGGAGGAGTTTTTGCTATAGAGCACATGCGCTCACCAGAAAGACAGAGACAGAGAGACAGAAAGCAAGAAATCATCCCCCCCTAGGGGGATGACCACACCGCAATCCCTTTTCCCCCATCCTCTTCTCGGGATTGTGGGCATGTACACACATGCGCCCAACATGAGTTTAGGCCACTGGTTCCAGGACTCGAACTGTGGTCGACTACATGGGAGTCCAGCAATACAGCCATTATGCCAACTGCTGGTCCCGAGTTTTGGTTGTCTTTTATTTTTGTTGTTGTTGTTAAGCATATGAAGAAAATAAAATCTCAAAGGTATGTGTAGTTGGAAAGGAAGAAAACTTTTAATATTCTCAATATTAAAGATTATCATCTCATTGTGATATTTTTTAATAGTACAACAAAACTAAATCAACTAAATGCATCACTGCAGAAATGTCCTCCTAACAATGGTTATCGAATACATCTCAGAAGCCAATGAATAGCTGTTATTTGTCCTCTTCATCTGAATATCCTATACAGAGCAGAACCCCTTTAAATTTCAGAGTTTAGTAAAATATTCATTTACCACATTGCGACAAGGAGCAAAAACATCACTGTACAAAATGGAACATTCTTTCTTGGCATAAGGAAATTTGTTTTGATGTGCTTCACAGGGTTTAATCGTTTCATTTGGAGTTTCACACTGTTGAAAAATTAAAGGTGAAAATAAAGCTTTTAAAGGGGCAATTTCTCAAGCCGAACACAAGAGTCACCTGCCTGATTGTCCGTTTCAATTACATGTAATATATCCTCAACCTTTCAGACAGGATTTACATAAAGATCCTGTTTTCATCCAACTCAGGTACTAGTTTTGACAGCAACTAAGCAAAATATTAAAATCATGGCACTATTAGAGATAGAGTGAAGATAAGTAATTTCTAAATTATCTTAAATATAGTATTTACACAACTAAAAAAATTACATGTACATGCATATCTTTCCTTTAATTTTTATCTCTTTCATTTCTGTGGCAAATCATTTTCTAAAGAGTTGTATATACTGAAGTTTCTACAGACTCATCTCTTTAATTGGGTCTCTGTGTCCTCTAATCTACTTCCTTGCCCTGAAAAAGATTATCAAGGACCTCTTCATTATTAAATATAAAATTCAATTTCATTCTTCATCTTGCTTGACTTTTGCTATCTTTGATTCAGCTTAATATTTCTCCATTCTTAATTGTCGCTCTTCCTTTGGTTTCAGTGGCACGGTTACCTGCAGGGTTTCTTCCTACTACACTGCTGCTTTTCCTCAAACTCTTTGTCTCTCCCTTCATTTGCAAAATTTAATTCTAAAACATCTGCTTTTCCCATTCTATATACCTGTCCTATCTTCAACAACTCAAATAGTAAATCCCACATCTCCACTGCTATCCCAGATCTCGATCCTGAGATTCAAAAATGTACATTTCCACCTGTGTATCTCTCAGTAACTCCTCTCTCAATAGCCTGTACCTATTTCTACACCATTGTCCAGCCTCCACTGATCCTCGTCAACTCCTCTTTGCCCTGCCTCGGGGAGAAACACCAGCATCTCTACCCCAGAGGCCTGGAAAGTAGGCGACTTTCTTAAATCCCCAGGTTCATCCTTCCTAATAGTTTTTCAACAGATGTTGATAATTTTTATTAAGATTTCGCAAATGTGTACAGATTTCTACATCTCCACTGACACTGTTTCTAGCTAGATTTCATTTCTTGCGGATCTGTACTTTGTATCCAGTCACTCCCTATTTCAAGCTTCACACCACAACCAAACTGAACTCCTTGGAAAGATGTACCATATTCTTCTCTCCAGTCTTCCTGACAATGTCTTGGCTGTTCGCTCCTTTCCCTGTTACACTTTCTCTAGTTCCCATAAGTCTTACAGGAACCGTCTCTGGAGCACCTTCACTATACCCTTCCTTGGACCATCAAAATCCTCATTTTGTATGCACTCATAACACCTATCTCAATAAATTTTTATTTTTAATTTTTCTGCTTTACCTACTAAGCTAAGCTCTAACTTTATTAAAGGCAGAAATGGTTTTAGTCATAATGGGAAACGTTAAGTGCTAAATAAAATTTAGAGAATTAAAGAAAGATTTGACTTAGCTTTGTTCATTAGATATGAATAAGAAAACTCATCTTAGAGAGTCTTAAATTATTTAATTATTACAAATATTGGACTTTTATTAGAAATGAGTTATATCTTTTTTCATTTGCAAGTAAATGAAAAAATGAGAAATGTAAAATAATTTCTCCAAAAATTTCTAAACATAAGAAGACATAAGATAACCATGACTAAAAGGATTTTGTCTCTCTCAATATTTTAGATATTAAAAAATATAATTTTTGTTCTTAAGCTTACATACACTAAAATGCATTTCTTAAATTTTACTGAACAGAATAACATTTTACTCTACTTTCTCTTTATCCTACAAGAGATCTAGACTTAGTAAGTAAGTTAGGCAAAAATGGTGAAATAACTACCCAAATGGCAAACAATCAGGAAGTTATGGTTTCAAACATTCCTATCAATTAAAATGGACATTGGGCTTAAAATAAAAAATAGAAGTAGAATCAATTTCCGATTAGTTCAGCATTCTTCAAAGTGTGTTCCATAGAAAACAACTTTATTGGTAATTAATAAATAAACACAGGTCTTGTGCTGATAAGTTCGGTAAATTCTTTAAGTACATTCCTCTACTATAGGCCTCAAGAAACCCTTCAAAAAATAACTCTGTCTAACTTACACAGTTGATCCCAAAGGTAGCTGAGCACAAATCCACCCCCTGTACACACACATACACATGCACATCTTTATTTTCATATAACACTGATGACATGGCATGAAATAGCCATGCTTTGAAGAACAAATGTAAAGGAAATTCTTCATTCATTTGTTCATTACTTTGAAGTAGCAAAAGTTAAATCATCCTTAGAAATACACATCACTGAGAGGGATTTTGCTATGGTGAGGAAAAAATAAGAAAATGCAAGTCACAATGCTACCTCTGCTCTTTCTGGCTATGTAATCATAGATTCATCATGTAACTTTCTTGAATCTCGAGGTCCTTATCTTATTATCAAGCTAATACATTTAACATCATCAGGTTATCAGAAGAATTATGTGAGAAGAATATCTAAGTAGTTTTTCAACTATGAATTATAAAGCATTATGTAAAATAATATTCTCTAAATAAATGTTCCTCTAAGGACAAAATATTCTAGTGATAACATATTCTAAAACTGTGTTATGTAGTTCTAAAATGTATATGTTTAACTTACCTGTCCTAATGCCCAACTATCTCCAAACACCTGAGCATTTCTCACTTCTAAATTATTTGATGTGGTCATATCATTAGAAGTACATTTGTCAAAATTTCCACACAATCCTGATAATTTGTTCTAAAGTAAAAGAAAATTACCATAAAACATTCTATATCAACTTACATTTAAGAACTCATTGTCACTTTTGAAAAATATATAATACACATTTAAGAATTCTCACAGCAATCACTTAAAAAGGGAACATTTGAAGAAAGTGGATGTTTAATTATATTCAGTGATTACTTTAAATTTTCAAAAACATTTTATCAGTACCTAAAACCTATTTATCCAGCATCTTACCAACATCTTAGCATTGATACAACTAATAATAAAAATAACTTGGAAAAGTACAATGCAAACAATATATATGTGTGTGTGTGTGTATATATATATATATACACACACACACACACTAATGTGTATAAATATAGCTATATAAAATCCATATGCATAAATTCTCATATTGAAAGATCTACTGGCTGATATGCTTTAGATATCATAATACTAGAAATGTAATTTAGCTTATTAAGGGGTTGAGAAACAGTTACTGCAATGGCCATATGGACTATTCACATCAACAATACCCACTGGATTTTCTCAAAATGAATGTTCACTCCTAGAAAAAAGAGGAGGACTTGCATCAATGCCAGTCTTGAAAAAAACAGTAGAATCCCTCCTTAACCTTGAACTTAACTCTTTATTCAATACTGAAGAATGGAATGTCTCTTTCATTAAGATCTCCTTTATTAATTACCCATGTCTCTAGCAAGGTGGACAATAAACCTAGGATTACAATAGCTATTTACTACCATGAAACTTCTGCTCTCAAAAATCACCTCTCTCCAAAGACAATAGCCACTTCTACCAGTAGTCATGCTAAAGCAGAGGCAGCAGTAAAAAATAAGCGATTAACTTGATCCCAAGAAGTAGCGGAGGGCAAATATATGATAAAGAATGGTAGGAGCCAGTGGTGGTACAGTGAGGGCACAACCGGACCACAGGGGAAATGGCTGGGTTAGATTCCGAGGACCTCCCTAAGGCAGGGGCACATGATGCGGTCGGTCCCGAAACTTGGACTAGGATATTCCCCTCGTGAGGCTGACTGAAGCTAGGGTCAATCATGGTGTGAGGACTCTGTTGGGGGTAATTCTCTCTCTTTTCTATGTGAAAAAAGGTAGGTAAATAAACAAAACAAAAGCACACACAAAAAAAGAATGTCAGACAACATTTGTTGAAAAAGGGTAGCAAAAACCTAATGGTTATTTTACATTCATCAAAGAAATGTAAAATGCCAACAAACCTAGGGATAGCTCTTTAGGCTTTGTCCCCTTACAACTAAAAGATTATGACTTCAATATATAATTTTTTAAACTTACAAAATGTTAAAAATATTTTAAAATGTATCTTTCCTACATTTTATTGGAATATGTTCTTGCTATTCTAATTTTTCTCTAATTTAACACAGAGTATCTCCATGAGTTTCCATCACAATTTCAGATAAACTACATTTTGTTTTCTTTTTTTTGGAGAGGATTTTTCTTTGCTATAGGGTGCATGCGCTCACCAGACAGACAGAGACAGAGAGACAGAAAGTGGGAAATCACCCCCTGGGGGGGATGGCCACGTCGCAATCCCTTCTCCTCCATTCTCCTCTCGGGATCTTGGGTACGCACACACAAGTGCCCAGCGTGAGTTTTAAGCCACCAGGTCCAGGACATGAACCATGGTCGACTACATGGGAGTCCAGCGACATAGCCATTACACTAACTGCTGGTCCCAATAAACTACATTATTTTTTAATTGGCAAAGGGAATATGAACTTTCCTCAGAGAAAGAGGGAAGAGGAGAAAGCATTTGCCAACTGGACCTGGTCATGCTGCAATCTTTTTCCTCCATTTATTGCTTCCTGCCAGGATTTGATGTGTGCACAAACACGCAAGCAAGCCCACACGCACACACACACACACGCATGCACACACACACACACACACACAGGAGTCTGGCATGTTTTTTAACCACCAGGACTGGGATTTGAACCAGTCAGCCATATGGGAACTGGTTCTCATTGCACAATGCTTAACTACTGCAGCACAGAGCCACCTCTCAATTAGATTTTTTAAAAATGTGTCAATGTTTTTAAAACAACTTTAAGATATAAATTAAAATAGTAAATCAAATATTTAATACAAATGTTTAACAGAGAATAATGTATAAATAATTTAAAATACAAATCACTTGCCCAGCTACTGTGGCACAGGGTAGCATGGTACCCTGCAAGGCTAGAAGCCATATACCAAATGCAGGTAAAGATCCCTGGGTTAATCTGGGAATACTCACATGGGTGTCCAAGATCCTGAGGAACTGAAGGGCAGGGGAAAGGGAATTGCAGCATAATGAGAGCCTGTCAAGGATACTTTATCTGTCTTCCATGTGCATGTGCTCTCTACCATAAATAAATACATATGTGTGTATATTTGTATGTGTGTGTGTGTGTGCGTGTGTGTGTGTGTGTGTATAGCAAAAAATTATAAACAACTCAGATTAGATCTTTAGCCATGAATGAACAAACTGTGATACATCCATACAACAAAAAGATTGTTTAGCAGTATAAAGGCACAAATTTATAATTAATAATTCACACATAAATAAGGACGACTTTAAAATGCATTCTGCTGAGAACAGCAGAGGGCATAATGATTACATTGCTGGGCTCCCATGTAGTCAACCACAGTTTGAGTCCCATACTTGGTGGTTTAAAACATATGCCAGACATGTGTGCATGCATGCCCAAGATCCCAAGAGGAGAATATAGGAGAAGGGACTGCAGCATGGCTGTCTCCCATGGGGACTGATTTCTCATGTTCTCTCTCTCTGGTGAGTAAACGTGCCCTATAGCAAAAATCTCTCTTAAAAAAAAAAAAAAAGAATTTTGTCAAGTCAAAGAAGCCTGACCCAAAAGATAATATACTGTATACATCTATTCATATGATATCTGAGAAAGGTGGAACTACACCAATCAGAAATGTACCAGTGGTTGCCAGGGATTGGGGGTAGATGATGAGGAAAATCTGGAGACTGACAAATCTGTCCTACATAAAGACTGTGAGGGCATATACAAAACCTCATGCATTTGCCATAGTCCATAGAGTTGGATACCATAAGAGCACATTTTTAGGGTTTTTTTTATGATTTTAATGTATGAAAACTTATAAAAATTTCCATAGTGTGAGGAAAATATGGAAAACAAAGAACATAACAAACAAGTCTACTGTATTACACATAGGTTACAAAACCAAGCTGAATAGGGTAAGGAGAAAGGAGCAGACCTAAGTAATTTTGGAAAGTTGAGTATTGTAAGATTAAAGTAAAAAATAACTCTGTACAAACACTGTACTGTGTTAATAAACTTCTTTTTCACAGGGATAAGTTAGTAATTCCAAAAATATAACCTAGTTCTTAAAGGAAAACATCAATTATTTTATTTCCATCAAACATCAAAAGGTAAACGTAATTCAATTTATAGCATCTCATTTGCAGCTTACATTGACCTACCTTCCACTGTGGTCCAACTTTGATATGAATAGTTGTCTTCTTATCCCAAAGAATAGTGATATCTTTCTCTGGAAAGTACACTACAATGTAGTACCCAGCCTTCCAAAGCTGGTATGTGGATTTATTTTCCAGAAAAAAACCTGATCGTTTCTTTAAATTTAAGAAAAGAAAAAAAAAAAAAGAAATTGTAAAGAAAAAAAAAATCAATACTGTCTAACTAAAATGTGTTACTGTGTTAAAATCCACCAATGACTAGATACTAGTATTATTGCTTGGCATGTCTTTTCTAAATTCTGTAAAAACAAACAAACAAACAAAAAAAAGAAACACATTAACTATACAATAAGTAAAACTGATAGATAACCAGACACAAACTAGTAGATGGACTCAACCTGGGTAAACGGACTGAGGGAGAAGGTATTTCAGTTACGAATGAGGGAGAGCATAAACATGGAAATAGACACAGAGGCCATCAGGGATAGCCCTGATAAATCTGAAATTCAGTCTATGATGGATAAATACGACTGAGGACTGAAAAGGCAGAAATGTGGCCCTGCTCATGTTTCTAATTAGTTAACTGACGGCCTGAAAGTCATCTACTGACTTAAAATATTTACTGAAAATCAGAATTATTAAGTTCGGTAGGAGACGTCTTTATAATCTGGAAAAATTTCTATATATGACAGTCTGATCACTGAAAAATAAAAACCATGTGTGTATACACACACACACACACACACACACACACACACATATATACACACACATATATATGTGTGTGTGTGTATATATATATATATATATATATACACATTAAGAATTACAGATTAGAAAAGATATAGCCAAGTAATAATACCAGTATTTAGTATTACATTTGACTTTCAATAAATTATTAATAATGCTAGTGTCTAGTATTAAGTATAAATACCCTTTATACACACACACACACACATATATCCATATTCAGACATATAAATATATGTGTGTATGTGTATGTACGTATATATGTATACACACATATATATGTGTATGTATGTATATACACACACATATACAAACACACATACCTACATACACACACACACACACACACACACATAGATATATTAGGTCATTGGGAAAGTCATGACATATTTTTCTATACAAAAAAGCATCATGACTTTCCTGATGATCCAATATATACATATGCACATATATACATACAGACATACACACACACACATATATTTATATGTCTGAATATGGATATGTGTGTGTGTGTTTGTGTGTGTATAAAGGGTATTTATACTTAATACTAGACACTAGCATTATTAATAATTTATTGAAAGTCAAATATAATACTAAATACTAGTATTATTACTTGGCTATATCTTTTCTAATCTGTAATTCTTAATATTTTTGGCTTTCAAAAATATTTGATGAAGTCAGTAAATGGCTTTCATGCTATCAATTAACTAGACATACACATATATGTCTATATCCATATGTATGTATATAAATATTGTGTATGAGAGAGAGAGAGGGTAGGAGGAATTAATTACCATCAAACAGACTTTTGAAGGTTTCCTGCAAGAGGTGGGCAATGAACAGATCTGAAAGATGTCATGTGTAGGAAAGTATGGAGGGTTGGAAATTAAAATGGAGAAGAAATCCTTCCATACAGAAGGAAAGGTTTGAATACTAGCCTATGGGCAGGCAAGTCAAAGATCTGTTCAGGACTAAGGAGAGCACCAAGGGGCTGGAGTATGGATTACTTAATGGAGCAAGTCTGAGACCTTATTATCCACAAAATAATTATCACATTTATAAAATGTAGTCAATAAAGGTTTCTGAATGGAGAAGTAGTAGGCCACATTTGTATATTAAAAGAAAATCACTTATGTCCTGGAAAGGATAAAAGTAGGGAGAAATCAAAGATGGAATACACTGGGAAACCTGGAGTATTTTTATCATAAAATGAGAATAAGCAATATTTTTTATGAGCAGTAGCTGGACCCTAAACATGGTTACATTAAATTTAACCTTGAAATTAACTTACATAATAACTTCAGAAATAAGCAAACTAAATTTAGCCAAAAGCAGAATAAAAATTGTTAAGGGAATATGAAATCCTTCTGTTGTTTTTGCCCCCTCCAAATAATAATGAAAGTACAGTTTGAAAATACTAATGGTTCAAAGAGCAAATAAAATAAATTTAGTCATATCCATAAGGAGTTTTCAGCCTCTAAATCACAGTCATACTTTTACTACTACACAGCATAATGTATAGAACAGAATATACTGTATATAACCATATTATACAGAACATATCGTAAATAACTATATGCTGTACATGTTAACTGACTTTATATAACCTCATATACTTTCACTCCCAATCCCTCAGCCTCATTCATTAGATGCCAGCTATGCTTTCTTCTTTCTTCACATTTATCCAAACTTATGCTTATTTCAAATCCTATGTGCTTGGTATTTCCCCAGCTGGAAATCTTCTCTCAAATCTTGGCATGCCTGCCTCATTCTCATCAAGTGTGATCCAAATGTCTCCTCAGTGAGACTTCCCCTGTCTGTCCCTGCAGAACTCTCAACCCAAAATGGGTATCTGGTGGGCATTTGGGCAGTGGAATAGCAGATGGAGGCCCACACTTGGGATTCAATGCTCTATAGTTGCCATCTTCAATTCCAAATAATTTCTTTCTCTGAATTTATTTTGTCAGTAAAGTGGGACAATAAAGCACGTGCAAGGGCCTGGACCTTGATACACATTGACTTCTATCCACTTCTGTCTTCCCGCATCCTCAGCATTGGTTCTCAGCTGCCTGATCTCTTGTCCCTACCCAAGGTCCACCATGGAACTCTACTCACCACAGATGCAGGGCGAGTTGAAGATGGACATGTGCACTTCCATGCCAAAGTGGCATTATGAGGCAAAGCCCTCACTACTGTGAGGGTGTGTACTTAGAAGAACCCCTACGCCCCAGGGAGTGTGGCATTTGATGACAAATAAAAAAAAACTTGACACATCAAAAGACAATATGAAACTAAGAAATTAATTTTTTTGTTTTGAAGAAGGGGCCCTTCATTTCTTGTTTTGCACTAGGTTCCACAAATTGTGCAGCCTGCTCTACAGCAGTCACTGTCACAGAACCTATTTTTGTGTTTTCATTGTGCTTTTTAGAACCTTCCAATTACTTGAGTTGTGTTTGCCTTTATTGTTTGTCTTCCCTCTCTATGCTGACTCTTGCATCAGTTAGCCTGATGTGAAAACACATGTTTTCTATTGGCCTTTACAAAAAATCCTTTATTTTCCTTAGACAGGGCAGTTTGCTACAAGAATAATCCTTTGGTCAAAAGGAATTCCTGTATTTCTTACTGTTCAAATTCCTAAGAAATGTTTCTCATCAATTAAAAAAAAAAAAACCCACACATGATACCCTGGCATTTGAATGAAAGTGGACGAATATGTGAGATTTAATGATAAGCGGAGTAAGCCAGACTATAAAAGGCAGGCACTGTATGTCCCCACTTAATATATACTAAATGTCTGCACTCTATGGCAAAAACTGAAAGACTGAAAGGTATTAAAGTACGAAGAGCAATGGTGAATACTAGAAACAGTGTAGGAAGAGGATGAGCAATGGGGGTGGGGGTTGTGAGTTAGGGATTCAAGGGAAAAAGACGCAAAACATTCAACACATGAAAATGGCAAATTATCTGTTGATAATATATTTTACTGGACTAATATATATATAGTGTACTCATGCTGGGAAAATGAATTTTGTATGCTGTAAAGATGCACAGTAATTAATGTAAAAAGTCAGGAAATAGAAAAAGAAAAAAAAAGGAATATGAGGTATTACTAATTATCCAAAACAGACACCTCCATTTCACGATGGGAATTATGGCACTTCAGACAAACTCTACTGATGTTCGAAATATGGAGCTTAAAACAGCTAAAGTATAGCTTGAAAAAATTAATAAACTATCTCTTACGTATCTGAAATACATTTATATAAAAAACAGCAGAGGTTTTATTTTCCACCTAGCTGAGCGGCTCCTCTGCCATAAAATAAATGGTGCTTATTTTCACTTTTGCTGCCCAAGAAAAAATATTAGCAGGGAATATATTAGGGTCAAACTATTCTTATGACTTTTTAACATTTTACTTCATCATTCACAACCTTTATAAAAGAGTTCAGTAACACCTATACAAAGGTGAAAATTGGAAGTTGAAAGTTACACAGTAATTACCATTTAAAAATGTGTCAAACTGTCTTTAAAAGAGCATTTACTACTTTCTCTTATTTTAATTTTTTAGAAACATCCTTGTTTTTAGAGAGAACCTTCACCTATAAATTTATATTCAGTTATGGATATACCAAACTGCTATGATTTCCCCAAAAAGATAACATAACTGTATAAACTCTGCTTTACCCAAAGTATAATTGCTGTCTGGATGGTTTTGATGTTTCTGACTAAGATATAAACTATGTTCTAGACCAATGGCTCTCAAACTTCTGTATACATAAAATTTGGAAGTATCATTAAAAATATAAATTTCATTTCAGCCTGTCATTTCAATTACTGAAGCAGGGCCCATAAACCAGCATTTATAGCAGATATTCCAGATGAATTCAGTTTAGAAACGACTGAAGTAACCCAGGTAATAGGAGGTGTCAGCTGCTAGTCAGGACAGATTTTAATGAAGAAGTTTTGCAGACCAAACAGAGAAACACTATTCTAAGATCTTAGAAAAAAGATCACCTTTAAAAGCCATGTGTCAAACACACTTCCCAACTGTAAATTTTTTTTACCTATAAAATGAAATTCTATCACCTTATGCCGTTCAGCA